TTGAAAACGATAATTAACCCGACATCTTTGTTGGAGAAAAATCTCGGAGTGACCGAGGAATCAGTTGTGAGAAAGCGACACGGCACAAGTGGGACAAACTCTGCATATACGCGCGTAACGTAAACCGCGCGTGTCCAACTATTCGCACAATTCAGCGCTTTTGAGCACACGTGCACACACACACACACACACACACGGTGAGTTTACATCGGATCTAAAGTTAGCACGAACTGACGAACGGTGCACTTTCGTATTACTCATTTGAGGCTGCTGTACGAGCTCAATGTCATCGCCGAAACCGCGTGCAGTCGTGCAAACGCGTCGGCAAAAGTCCGCAAATAGATTAAATGCGACTCCCTCAACCGTTTCGCAGCTGTGCTCGACCGTGTGAACTTAAACGTAATGAATTAACACTGTAAATTGACACAGTGTCAATCAATTACGATCATTGTTATCTTACATTTCTCCATGCGACATATATGTGTTGTATAAATTAGTATGAAATTAAAGAAAAGAAGTCCGACTGACGGAATATTTTTTCGCAACATTAAAGATTTCGATATTATTTAAAGGAGGAAAGAAAGTAAAAGAGGGGGCGAAAAAAGCGTGGTGCGAGTAGTCGGCATGTACAAACGAAATGTCTATGTTTGACGATGTCAAACGACGATTCTCTCCTCGCAACATTAATTAGCACCTCAGGTTTGCTATCATTCGATCTCCGGTAGATAAGGTACACCTTATATCCCACACAACGCCGTTTGTATCCATTGAATCGGCGCACAACAGTCGTTACACAACGCTCGGCGATCTTAACGAGGAATATCAACGTTTCTTTGTCAGCGAGTTCTCGGCCGTTATCGGTGCATCTGGCCGTCGCTTTTAGCCAACAACGAAAGAGCATAAGTGAGTGGGTGTGCGGGAGAAAAACGGCTTTTTAAAAGACGGACGGAAACAAAACGCGACGATTTGGAGGAGAGGGAAAAAAAAACTCTTTTCATTAATCAACCGCGACGCTGAATTGATGCTAATTTATCGTACGAGCATTATCGAACGTTCTCGACTTTATTAAAACGACGATATACGAATCGTTTCCTTTAATGGCTGATTTTTTCGTGAAGCAAGCCTCTCTTCGGATTTACATCTAATCCTACGAGTGGTCTGCGATGATCTACCAACTCTCACGACGAAGGCTCATCACCGCGACGACCGAGAAACTCCTCCGCCGATCGACAGCACAGAATGCAACGAGAAAATGTGCAGTCGAACGGTTTTATCGTCGTCTACGCTTCTCCCTCCCTCTAGCAAGTAACCATCCTTCTCCAACGGTTCGAGAATACGCAGGTTCCTCAGTGTATCGTGTATATCGAAAACACGTCGCGTAAACGAGACGTCAAATTTACAGTCAAGCGGGTTGAATCAACAACGGAATCTTATTTGTTCGTGCATCCTTTTCCCTTGGAACTTTATCGTAAGACTCGCGTGCATAAAGAAATATATACAATTGTATCGTACGTGATTGCACGTATATTTATAAATTTGGATCTGTTGGCGCGCGTGAATTATTATTCAAAGAAAAGAAATATCGTCCTGTCAAGGTGGACTTTAATCTTTTAAAAGTCACTCTCTGCGCGCGCACCATAATTACAAAGACATATTAATTTTGTGCCAAGTAATCGTGCGTAACTGCGCGAGATGGACAACCCAAAGTTTCCGTCATGTACGTGCGCAAAATCCGAAAGCTAATCGTTTCAAACGACGCGCCACTCTCGTTCCTTACCTCGCTCACAGTTCACCTTGATGATCTTTTTCTCGGAGATGCACGATTAAATGTTCAGCAGCTCCACTTGAATAATCGTTGCTATCCTCTTTGAGACAATCACAGAGGATTATTGTGCTTAAAAAAAAAAGATTCTTCCTTCCTATGCGAGCGATTTCGAGCGTTGCACCGTTGCCGTTTGGTACGGAGTACGCGCGTATAATCGTTCGTGCGGTATAATATACACCGTTGGCCTTGTGGCCACTCTATAGTGGCCTCGTCCCACCCTCTATAGAGCAACACGTCGCGCTTTTACGGCCGCTCGTCGTGTGAAATTACTTAATGCGCGCTCTCGGCTCCGACCGAGGAAATTTAATTGCCGTCTCGTACCAGATTATTGGCCGCCGCGAGTCGCCATTACATTGTTCTAGAAGGCAATGTTTTCTCTCGAGTTTGAAGAGAAATCGTGATTCTCCTCTTCTGTGAGAAACGTAAAGAGTCTGTAATGTCGTTAATAAGACATTGAAATTTTGGGTGAAAAATTATTCTCGCAATTCTCAGCGAAAGTGTGATGTAGCTCATTTGCTTGGGAATAATCGCATCGCGCTCTTTTCGCCGCGCCGCGGAGTCTCTCGCGTGCGACGACCTTCGGGTCCGCTTTGCCGGCCGGCGCGACCGGCCGGTTGCGTAATTAAACCAGCGGCGCAGTGCTTAATAAACGAGAGTGGCACGCAACTACGACGACAACAACAACGACGACCCGGCACTCGAAATAGAAGTCAGCCTCGCGAGAGAGCTACGACCTCGATGTATAACTCATCTCTGCAAGCGCAAATCGCGCTGGATCGATCTTTTTTTTTTTTTCTCGACAAGGAAGAAATACGCACAAACGTCTATCTCGAGGAAACGGATGCTAAATCCGCGCGCTATTTCGATCCCTGGGTCGTTATCGCGAATTACCCGGCGCGAGCCCTGAAGAAATCATTCCAGCGAGCTCTCTACCGGGCGGATCGACCGCATAAATCATTTTGTGGGTCACCGGAGCGGCCACGTGGTGACCCCGTTCGGTTCCTCCTGATCGAACGCTCTCGGTCCACGAATTCCCGGCCAAAATTATTCCGTCTGTAGCGCGTCATTTCGAAGTGTGTCAACATTTCTCATTCGATCTTTTTTTTTTCGAAACAGTTGAAAATTGTCTCATCTATTTCAAAGCACGTCGTGGAGATACGAAAATTATACAATGAAACATTCGTAACAGATAGCACTGGATGACCTTTCCGATGCTGGTCAGTGACCATCAATACACTTGGTTTCATTCCTGTTGCCATAAATCCTCCCAATCTGCTGGTGCGCATTTGTCGGTTAGTGATGCGCTTCCGAGCGAGTGGGTCGGACTGAGAAAGAGCAGAGGGAAAGGAGAGAGAGAATGACGTCAGACGTGCAATTACCGATGCACTTGACGCGTTCTCAACAACGGATCGCCACCTCCGTTGATGTAAAGCCCATTTTAGACGCAACTTGCGACATAATTCTTGTTGTAAACTCTTTCTAAGGAGAATTCAACAATTTCTTTTCATAATGCGCCTTTATTGAGACAGCCGCGATAAATCCGATAATTCACACACGGTTTATGTGATTATGTTGTAACTTAGGCTCAGTGTGTAATGTTTGCATCCGCCCGCAAACATTCGTCAACATCGCGACCCCCTCGGTTGTGTCTGGAATCGATTAAAATGTCGTTCATCTTCCCCGACACTTATTCCTTACTCAGAATGGTGCGCGTCATGGTCGAAATATTGAACACGAAAGAAGACGAGCAGCCCTCTCTTGGTTGATACTAAACTTTCATTCATTCTCGTTTGAGTGGTGAATGCGCGTTGTTTTATGCTCGATAATACGACGTTCGCTCGGTTCGACAGACGATTAATCTTACAGCCATCACCCTTGTTTGATATGCCGTACGATTAGATTAGCAATTTACGCGATTATTGGTAGGAGGTTGGAGAGATTCAGTCTCGTGTAGTTGACAAAAGATCTCTCTATCTGTCTGATAAGTGGTGTAGAGAAATGCTTAATTTAACTCACCGTGAATACATTCCAAAACGTCGGAAAGAAAGACTAGCCCGATTAGATGTACCTCTCCGAAAGTTAAAACCATCGATTTTATAATCGTTTCTTCTTCCGAGTACCGTGTTAAACAACAATGCTTGTTAATCGAGGCGATAAAACGAGTGAGTTTCGGATGCTCAAGCGGATCAGTTTTTTTTGCAACAAGTGATTCGACACAAAGGACACTGCGTCGATGATGGAAGGGTCCGTACGATTCGTATCTCTGGAAAACCATTTGTCACGGCCTCTCGGTACGAAACGTGCTTTCGATACACGAAGAACCACCATCGTATTGAAGAAAGTTTCTCGATCGGAATTCTTCGTGGAAAGATTAGCGAATTCGCTGCTAACCCTGAATTTCGCAACGTGAAGCGTTTGTTTCCCCGAACTCTCTCCGTAAATGCCCGCGCATATTTCGAACCATTTATAAATGTTGTGTGGATTTTTATGCCATATTTTAGAGATCGTTTAAATTCTTTTTCTTTTCTGTTTGAATTTTGACAAGTTTTTGCTTTCACGAATTGAAAAATTGGAAGAATGATCGTGTTTCCATCGACAATACTCCGTCGTTAATCATCCAGATTCTCGTTTGAGAATCGTTGCTTCTGTGTGCTAATTAACGTGGATCCTGCAGACGGTATCGAGAAGTAAGGTCATCGTTTCATCTTGCTCTTCTCAGACAAATAAATCTCGTTGAATACATATATATATATATGGAGAGAGAGAGAGAGAGAGAGAGAGAGAGAGAGAGAGAGAGAGAGAGAGATGCGGATACTTAATTTACAGATCTTCTCGGTATATACACACGTTTAATATTTGCACGCGAGGTTCCCTCCCAGAGAAAGGGAAAGAATCCACTTGAGGAGAGAAGAGCTCCTCCGACGGAATTCTTCGGTTAATGACAGAGAGTATCGACTTCTTTCTGGTGAATCGCGCGTTCCGAAAACTTTCTTCTCGGAGCCGCGTTTTGATCGCTTCCTGATCCATGCGACGTCCGCTGAGAGAGGCGTTAATAGGTGTAATGCCGAAGAACGACGTCCTTTCACCGCCTTAGAAAGGATGATGGGCGATCGAGAGAAAAGCAGCTTGAAAGCTCTTGGATTCGCGGGAATGAAAGAATGTGTTTGTATTGCAGGGCTGAGCCTGGACAGCAACATGTCGATGTCGTCCGTGGGCCCGCAGAGTCCCCTCGACATGAAGCCCGACACGGCACTCATCAATCCGGGAAACTTTAGCCCTTCGGGTCCCAATAGCCCAGGGTGAGTGTTTCTCTTCTACATGACAGTTGCGTGATTTACGTACGTTGAATAAGTGTGTGCGATTTATTGTTCTCTCCGCATGTAAGATCCTTCAATGCCGGTTGTCACAGCAACCTCCTGAGCACGTCGCCCAGTGGTCAGAGCAAGACGGTAGCGCCTTATCCACCTAATCACCCTTTGTCGGGCAGTAAACACCTGTGTTCAATCTGCGGCGACCGCGCGAGCGGCAAACATTACGGCGTTTACAGGTGAGTCGACAGTGTGTAATTATGTAAGGAATTAGCTGTAAGTAATGCGAAGCCGGTGAGCTTATTTTAGACTGAACATTTTTTCACTTCTGCTTACGTAAAGCAGATTGCGATATCATCTATTTATCGCTTCCTTTTTACTCACCATGTGGAAGAGCTTTATAAAGGATTGAACGAATATTTATTGCCCACTCTTTGCTCAGAACATATTTCAAGCCGCGATTATATATTCGTGGAATAAGATAGATAAGATGTAAAAACGTGTTTGTCATGCAAATTCAATCTTTGCATCCGCACAAAAAGGGAGATTTTCGATTGCGACGGCAATATTGAAGCCCACCGGCTGTAGAAATAATTCTGTCTTTCTTTGCAAAACAGGGAAAGTCGGAGAGATGCGCGCATATGAATTTCATCGCCTTTTTCATCGTCGCAAGCCCCTTGAATTCCTTGATAATCCTCGTTAATAATAACATACCGCGCTCGTTATTTATTATCGACACGATAAAGCTAAACGCTTTGTTTTTCCCAATTATCCGTGACCTTCGCGACCTGCCTCGTTATTGCAAAATAAAGACTTGCGCGAATATAATTATATCAGTTGGACGAGTTTGTTCTCCTAGCTCGGGAACTTTGTCGACGTAACCGCGTCGACCTTTCCTCAATTATTTAGCGCTCGATAAACTCGAGGAGGATTAACTTGTACGTGGAGATACCGAGGGATGTATTTCCATACGCGAACTTTCAATCTCGCCGCAAAACCAGGTTTATATCTAAGTGCTAAATTTCGTGTCTTTTTCCGCGACACTGAACTTTGACCCGCTCGTTCTAGTCGGGGGGGGGATATTAAAACAAATAAAACNCCGGCGGAATAATAAAAATGTCGACGAACCAAGCGTATCGTCGCTGCGAGAAGAAACTCGATGGTGGGTGCGAAAGAGCGTTTCCGACGAGACGCGACGCGATATTACTACAATTATCGCGACGCTTCATGACATTTCCTCCAACTTTTCACGCAACCTTTCTAAGGGAAGGTATATACCACTCTCTGAGATTGAAGCGTTGCCGCCGATAAGCGTTTACGTCGAACAAGAAATATCTATTTCATGTCTTTTTCCGTCGACACTGTAAATTCATGAATTACATACAACGTCGCGACCGTCCAAATTTCATTACAACGATAGGTAGTCGTCTTCCCCAGTGGCTTCGCGAAACAACTCAAAATACGAAAGTTGGAATCTCAAGGTAACTTACCCAATTAAAACTTGTATCGACTTTCTAATTTAGCTCGGAGAGTTACCGCGGCGTAACGACGAAAGTAACGGCGCGTAGGGCCTCGCCCACCTACCGAAATCCTATCCCAGGTTATGTACTTGGATCCCTTTAACGTATTTGCCCGATAAAGAAGAGACGACTCGACGTAACAAAAGATAACATTTTCCCTCGTTGAAGAATTCGTGTCTCGCACGATCGAGTAATTTTTCGCGATAGAAACGAAGAATGATTTTGTAAAATCAACAAAAGAGGACAACAAATTCCCGTTTTTTTTCCATCGGAATTACCGCGCGCACGTCTTACAGGCGCGCTGCAAATGCAATCCAATGTGTCGTCACGGAGTCATCCCCTCCTCCTCGCCTTTCCTCCTATCGGCGCGAGCTGCAGCGATGCTCGCGTTGCATCAGAGCCCCGTCAACCTTGGACTTGCTTGCCGCGAGGTTGGGACGACTACCCACCCGTAGTTCCTACGAGCGGAGGCCGTCCGTCCTCCTCTCTCGTATAGGCACCATTTTGCTCCAGTGGCGGCTAATTAACCCAGTGCTGCTTCTTCGTTCGAGCGAAAGATTATTTTGAGATATCCGTTCAAATTTCCAAAGAGAATCGAGAGGTTTTCACACGAAGAGTGTAGATTTTTATAGGACGTGAAGAAGAGAAGATTTTCTACGCAAAGTACCTCCGGCGACTTAATGAAAAACACCCAGGCAATTTGTATCGCGTACGTATGTTGGCTTCGTAATTAGCGGGGATGGAAAAACTGGTCCCGCCTAACATTCGGACGTACTCATGCGATGCTCGCAGCGTAATAACGCGCAAATACGTTCTTGTTTCCTTTCGCGCGCATACATTTCTCACGGAATAAATGCGCCGCGACGGCGGTTCTCTCCGTGTTGCTTTGAATTCGGCGGTTCATCAAGCGATATGATTATCATCCGTCTGAAAGAATAATTCCGCTCGGCGGAATTTCCGCGGTGTCTACGCCGCGTTATTTGTGCGCGCCGAAGGTCTCCTCGCGGCTAGAACGATAGAGGGAGATCAAACTGGCTAGAGCCGGCGATGGGGAGGAGCTCCACACGTGTCATGAATATTTGCCTTTCGCATAAACTCCGCGCGAGATCAAACGGCTGCCACGGTGGTCCAGAAATTGCTGCACCGCTTGAAGCGCGCGACTATCGGAACGTGTTATCTCGCCGTCATTTCGCTCGAAATCAATTTTTTTCACATCGAAAAGCTCGGAAATCTGTCGTCACGACACGCGCAGTAGTATCCAAAGAAATCTATTTAGATAGGGAATTTTTGTTCGTTTTAGATGGTATGGCTGCTAATTAGAGCAGTTAGAAATTATATACTCGAGATTAAACGGTCTTTCGTAAGCCTGGATGACATCGGCGGCGACGCTCGTGTTTCCCCGAAAACGGGATATTTTGATGTGTCGCGAAATCCGCGAGATTAACGCGCACCGTTTGTCTTCAGGACGCTGCTCCTCACGAAGCAATTGGGGAGATTACGTGTTTGAGGAAACATAATTTTCAAAAGAATGCCATTTAATCAACTTCCTACTGTGCCGGCTTTAGCGAGATTTAACGCGACTGTTTGTTCCATCGGGTAAGATAGAACGTAAGCTATACGTGACGCCCCGTTTTGTTGTCAACCGCACGAAGAAGAAAGAGATATTCCCGCGTGTGTCCGTCGCGAAAATAAATCCACCGCGGAATTCGCTTTTCTGGCTCCAACGGGATTTCTGGAGACGTTCCAAAACTTTAAAAACGACGACCCTGAAAGCAGGCCGTGATTCACGGGGGGTGCAGTTCGGCCGACAAACGAAGCTGAGTGATGATACGAGGACCAACAAATTATTTCCAGAAATGAAACAGGACTCGCGCGCAAAAATACTATGTCGCAAAAATCATGTCATTGTTCGTGATGAAGAATTCTCCTCTTGGAGTAGTGGGAGGGTCTGTACAGCGTTATATCTCGAAGGGATGAATTTTGCAAAGTTAATGAAAATTTCAGAATCGTCTCTATTTTCTCGTAAAATTCGCATTACGGGTTGGATTATTTTTACACGCACTGTTGTCCCCGTTGCATGGATTATACGCGAAAAACCCGCGGAATACTTTATCCCCGGAGGAAGAGAGGAGGAGAACGAACGCTGCGTCAGAAAAGTGTCAACAAATCGCTCACGGCGGATTCGAGTCGTCGTACTATTGCGAAATACGAGAAATCACTTGGCCGTGATTCGCGAACCAACAGCGCAATAATTATCGTGCGCGTCGTAGCGTTAATTCACAGTCGTCTTGAAGCCCGCGTCCTTCGAAAATTTCAAGGCGAGAAATTTCAATCTGAGAGAATCAAAGAACGAGTGTGTGTAATTTGCCTACCGTGAATATAATGCGATCATTGCGCGTTTTTCTCGGATAGTTATTAAAAAAGCAAAAAGTCGCACTCCTTCAAGACGTAAATTTCGAAGCTAATAATTGACATTCGTCGCGTCCAGAACGTAGATTATAATTTGCTTATCGCGCGAGTATCTGTGTAATGTATTTCAATTAAAAATAGAAGAATAATTTGCGCGAAACTGCAGCATAACGGAGTATAATGCGAGTCGTCGTCGCTGTCGTCGTCTTCGTCGTCGTCCGTCGTCGTCGTCGTCGTCGTCGTCGTCGTCGTCGTCGTGGTCGCCGCCGCGCTTGTCTGAACCGAGTTCTCGTCTTTCAGCTGCGAGGGATGCAAAGGATTCTTTAAGCGGACGGTGCGCAAGGATCTGTCGTACGCCTGCCGCGAGGAGAAGTCCTGCATCATCGACAAGCGACAGAGAAATCGCTGTCAGTACTGCCGGTACCAGAAGTGCCTGACGATGGGTATGAAAAGAGAGGCGGTGCAAGAGGAGCGTCAACGTACCAAGGAGCGGGATCAAAGCGAAGTGGAGAGCACAAGCAATTTGCACGCGGACATGCCGATCGAGCGTATCCTCGAGGCGGAGAAACGGGTCGAGTGTAAGATCGAGCACCAGGGAAATTACGAGGTAAATATCTCTCTCTCTCTCTCGAAAGAAAGGACAGATTTGTAGAAAATAATGAAACTCTCGATGCGTTTGAATTAGCCGTTTGTTCGCGGAACGGCGATTCGAATCGCTCCTACTAATATATGGCATCTTCTGTGATGCGCAGAACGCAATGTCGCACATTTGCAACGCTACGAACAAACAGCTGTTCCAGCTGGTGGCATGGGCGAAGCACATCCCGCACTTTACGTCGTTGCCGTTGGAGGATCAGGTGCTTTTGCTCAGGGCAGGCTGGAACGAGCTGCTGATAGCCGCCTTCTCCCACCGTTCCATCGACGTAAAGGACGGTATCGTTCTGGCGACGGGCACCACGGTGCATCGAAATTCGGCGCAACAGGCGGGCGTGGCCTCGATATTCGACCGCGTGCTCTCGGAGCTGGTGTCGAAGATGCGCGAAATGAAAATGGACAGGACCGAACTCGGGTGTCTTAGGTGAGCGACGAAAGATCTATCCATTGATTTATTTATCTTTGCTCGTATATGTGTGTTTCCTCGAAACTTGGGAAGCCGATGAACCTCGGAGCAGCCGTCGCTGATCGCGCACGGTAGTAGTACGAGCTTTTTCACGTGACTGAAAGTCGTAGCCTTTAAGTTTTTGCAAAATATATAGAAATATGCTGACGTATGATTATCGCGCAGATCCATTATTCTCTTCAATCCCGACGTGCGAGGTCTCAAGTCCATCCAAGAGGTCAGTTTGCTGCGCGAAAAAATTTACGCCGCCCTGGAGGAATACACCCGTGTGTCCTGGCCGGACGACCCCGGCAGGTTTGCCAAGTTGCTGCTTCGCCTACCATCCATCCGTTCGATCGGTCTCAAGTGCCTGGAGCACCTGTTCTTCTTCAAAGTGATCGGCGACCCACCGATCGACGATTTCCTCATGGAGATGCTAGAGTCGCAATCGGATACTTAGGAGCAGAAGGTGTGCCGCGTCCTGGGGCACACCGATTTGTAAAAAGCGGACGACGAAAAAGAAGATGATTATGATGATGACAACGACGACAACGATGACGACGACAAAAGAACACAGAGAGTCGGTTGCGCATTCGGCCGATTTCTTTTCTCATCTTTGCTCTGTGGCGTCCCTCCTGCAAATATCACCATCGGTTCAATCGTCAAATGAAATAGAATTTACTTACTCTTCACCGCTGCCCCCCTCGTCCTCATCTATCTCCTCCTCTCTCCCGTCGCGTCCCGTTATTTATGTTTATGTTAGAATTTAGCGACTCTCGTGTCCAGTGTAAAGAGGCGATCTTAGCCGATACGTGATAATGGTATGCGTGCGCATGTGTGTGTGTGTGTGTGTGTGTGTGTGTGTGTGTGTGTGTGTGTGTGTGTGTGCGCGCGCGTGCGTGCGTAAAAGCATCGCGATCAGTTGTAAATCAGCTGAGATGTCAATGCTCGCCGAAAAGCGACTTAAATTTCTGTCGAAAAAATTGGCAGCTTCGCGACGCGAGAAAAGGAAGGAAATGATGGATAGAAATTTAAGATTCGGCGAGTGCGGACGCGCGCGGAGAAGCTGTGGATAGATAGAGATCCTTAGAAATATCATCAAGAACAAATCGTTGCCTCTTTAGTCTGCGGCATGTGTCGTGCCATCATCCGGACGAAGATATATCTCACAGCCGACGATCGGATCTTTGTTTTGGATGGACGGACGGACAGACAGACAGACAGACAGACAGACAGACAGATGTTGCGTCTTTGTCGAATTGCGTGCCTCTCGAAGTCGCGTTAGTTCCTTAAATGACGATTATTATATTTCTCTGCTTCACATTTTTGCACACTTTGTTACCTCCCGTGATCTTTCTCTTCTCCATCCTCTCGGCAAATTCGACGAAGACGCAGACTGTGCTCGCGAGTTCTCTTTACATTCCAACTCGATTCGGATCGTTACTTTACAAAAAACCTCGCATACAGATGTATGCACATACTTGCATCAATATACGCGGCCCTTGTGCGCGCGCGCGCGCATTAACAATAATTTATTGTTTTGTATTTTAGAGTATAGAAGAGAAACGAAAACTTACTGATTCTCATTATTAATTATATTGAGTATACATGGTAACTCCCCTCCTCTTGAGTTCAGCAGCATGTAACAAAGTTACTGTGAACGAAATAGTGAAATTTTGACAAACTAAAGCGTGCGAACCAAGTATTTACTTCCAGGGTGTTTCAAGGTATTAGGGTTTGCGTCTGTTTTTTTTTTCTTTTCTCTCTCTCTTTTTTTTTCCCCCGACATTCTTTACCAACAGCCGTTGCCGGTGTTGCACAGCTTTTAGGCAGGTTTTAACACGCGGTAAACACTCGCAGCGCTAGAATATGCTGTCTTCTGATGTTTGGTACAAATTTGACATGGCAGCAAATAGGATAGACATTTTTCTCTATCGTAGAGAGTTTACTGGCATTAAGATTTGTTTTTTCCCGGCGAATACGTTCAACGTACGGCAGAAGATGAAAGAAGAAAAGGAAAGAAAATAGAAGAAGGACGCGCGTAAGAGCCTCTCGAACCTCTTGAAGAACAGACGTTTTGCGTGCGCGCGAGATGTGTAATTATTCTATGAATCTAGAATAAGAATTAATTGATCGTGGACAGAATTAAGATAGAACCCTACTCTCGTTGTTAGTAATTTACAGAACGTGTGTGTCACATGATTCGAGCTGATGGATCGGCGATGAATTCGTAAATCCATACGAAACAGGGCGTGCTTGTTCGGCCGGTCACCTTCGGAACTTGACAGCATGTAAAGATATAGGATACACATATATATATTTTTCTATAATGACAATCTCTATCTCTGTCTACTCTACTTCCAAGAGTCGAATTAATGACGCTCGATTCACAGACGATGGGCAAAATTTCGATATTACGTTGGGTCCCGGACCGTGAATGTCGGGACACTCAAGTGTCATCGTACAATCTAAGTTCGGTAAGTTATATAATAAATAGATATGAGAGCGCTTACATACGCGTTTCTATATCGACAGTTTTGTGAGAAATTTTCGCGATCGAATGTGCGTCTCCCACGGTGGGACGTAATGTAATAATGCGTGCGTTAATTTTTTTCTCGTTTTATCGTTTAACGTGACGGAACGCGGATATCGTACAAATACCTGTGACATTTCGCCGGACACTTTCAGCTCCAATCATTGATACGATTTACTCTACTACTTTAGAAACCGTAAGGGAATGATCATACTTACTTCAATAATATAAATTATGATAATATTATTATATATTATTAAACACACATATTTCTATTTTTGCGTGAATGCCTACGATTGTTAGTTGTTGGTTATTGTTATCTACTTGATGAGAGTTTTTAATGTTATGCATACCGTGGAAAACACAAACGCAATTATTAAATTCATACTTTTTTTTTCCTTTTACAATATAGTGGAGTTGCTGTTCATTTCAGATGAACCTGTTTTAGTATCATTGTTGCTTCAACTGTCCACTGGCAATGAGTTTATGAGACTTGTACTACTAATAACGTTAATCAACGCGGATGCAAGAGCAATATCTCAAATGTGAGTCGACTTAATTTCTCAATGTGCGAATCACTTTTGTTGAGAAGGAACGCAGATTCTGTATTATCGCTTTTGTATTACTTGACTCTATACCCGTGTACAATTGTTACTTCGACACATGACTTTTTCTTGACGAAGGAAACCACCTGACCAAAATTACCTCTGAACAATCGCGCGATTACGCGGCGATCACCTCTTCAAATTCCTCAAAATACGATACAAACGACGCTGTAAGTGACCATTTAGGATTGGAGGGCGCGAATGCTACCTGTGAATGAAGTTTCATATAAATATATAAATGTTAAAAGAGACGGAAATATCTATACGTATATATATGTGTATACGTATGTATGTATGTATGTGTGTATATACGCGGCACACACATACATATATATATACACGCGTGTATATGTGCATATATAGATATGTAATATATAAACCGAATTCTTTCAACAAATGATACGACAACCTCAGTAGTAGATCAAGATAAAGGGAAAAGAAAACGAAAAAAAAAAATATATATATATATAAAAATAGGAAAACGAAAAGAGTTGACACAATGGTTCTGACAGGTTTATGAAACCTATGTCCTTTCTGCGAACAGACATTATACATAAGGTAAGAGGATTACATAAGAGTGGTCTTTGAAATCTGTCTACTAGAAAGCATAATGAAAAGAGTAACAGACTCACCGAGCTTCTCGCGTGTGAAGCGCGTCACATTATCGCGAGGATAACGAATCGTATACTTTAATGTTAAACTTAAAGGAAGGAAAGAACTGCTTTTTGCCATACTTCTTTGAAGTATCATGGAAATGGTACGATGCTCAAATTGTGTGTAGTGACGTTTTATCTAGTTAACAACACAGTGTCCTAGAGCGGGAGAATTGGGTGCGCTGTATGTAATCTTTCTGTACAGTGAACGCGCAACAGATACGCAATTACCTCCTTCTCGCGTGTATCCGTTGTGGCCTCTTCGTCTTGTACTTACGCGAGTCCTGGGTTACATTCGTTTCCTTTGAGTCTTGTGTCGTTGATTATTTTTCAAGAGATTTTAATCACATGCACTCGCCGTCGCGTATCCTTGTTTTCTATGTGTGAGGAAAATTTTTAGCCCTGAAATGCCTTCTGTCGTTTCAGTATTCGCGAAACGAGTGACATTATGTACATCCTTCTGTAACATATAGAAAACTCTCTTTCTACGCACCCATTCTACATAGATCAGTACAAATAAGTTTAATGATAATAATATTAATTATTATTATAATAACGAGATAACAGTAATAATAATAATAGTAATAATAATAACAACAATAGTAATAACAATAATACCGAGATAATGTTAATAATAATAATAACAACATACTGTTTACTCTTATCGCCCGCGCATAAGGTATACCCAACTTAACAAATAGTAGCAGGTGTCCTACTAAAAGTACCGTACTGTTAAAGAGCTAAACTGTAAGCCAGTATGTTATACACATGTATATGTATGTAAATGTCATACAATTTTATGTATCGGCAATCGAATTAAGAAACGGTTAATAAGTTAACTCTCGTATAACTGCCACTATATGATCAAGTATGATTTCGAACATTACCGTAAATACGATACTTCGGAGTTGCTCATTTTTTTTCTTCTCACAGAAGAGCACACGTTTGTACGAGAAAAGTGTAAAAATGTTTCTTCATGATTTTGAATTGCGCGTAACAAGTATTTTACAATACATTAAAGTACATGGCACTATATAGAATTCTCCGATTATATGAAGCCGGATTCGACACTCGTCAGCTAATTGTATATCGATAAGTGTTGAATTATGTGTAAACATTCCACTTTATGGATAAAAAAAAAATGTCGAACGCGTACGGATGCCTATACGATGAAATATCGATTCGAAGGATTTTTTTTTCTATTTCTTCCCCCGCCCTCCATATACTCAATCCCATTGCTCGTCCCACTTTACGTACAATTTCAAAAAGCATCGCGAATTAATTTATTTCTCACTGGTTTTAATATAACGAACTATACTATATATGGTTGTGCTCCATAAATAGCAAAGCAATATATAACTATACATGTATTTACATGTATATACATCCCCTCTCGAATCTATTTCTTATTATCGTTTAAGCTACGATTTCGTTAATATTACATAGTGGAACATTTAATTCGCGCGCATCCACAATATAGATTACGAAAAAATCTGTCTACATACTTATATTACTACTACTATTGCTACTATTACTACTGCTATTACTACTACTATTACCGCTACTGCTATTACTACTATTATTACTAAACTACTAAAATACGCTTTTGTAAGTGTAAACACATACACTTTTTTTTTTCAAATAACGGTATGACGGAACATGTGCAAAGTATCACGTTCGGGGCGTCAAGTTCTCAGGTGAGAAGAGAGCGAATGTTTTTGGAAGAGAAAGAGAGAGAGAGAGAGAGAGAGAGAGAGAGAGAGTAATATATTCACAGAAAGCGCATAAACGACAAGGGTATATAAAATAAATATGTAGAAACGAGAGCGAGAGAGAGTTTGAGAGTAAGAGAGGATGAGAAATTGTTAACGGCAAGAATGTGCAAAACAAGAGTGTTGCTATGAATGTACTTGTACAACAGTATGACTAGTAACAATCCCTGTGAGTAAAGAATTATAATGTACGGTTTCGCGCCAAGAGATAGATCGTCTATTCTGACTTATCTAAATATAATATTTTTATGAAGTGAAACAGAGTCATCTTTGTGTGTCGCACGTGCGTGTGTACCGTTTGTCGATTTCCTTGCCAAACCAATTCTCTCATTGCACATTTAACACCTTAAATTCAACGTGGATCAAAAACACACACGGTCGATTAATTCTCTTGCAGTATATTTATTATTGCATTTTATTGATGGCAGACACATTCAGTGCATCATATTTCCATTACGAAGTAATAACAGAGTTCGTGATCACTTCTTCCACATTGTACCGTTTTTTAACAAAAAGAATGTACATTATCTACGATTTATCTGCACATATATACATTTAACACGCACACACGCGTGTGTTAAATGTGAACGTAGCGATACAACCAACATTACGCGTTTATCGTGGTATAATCTTTCGCATTTCGCGTAAAAAATCTATACATTTGGTTCGGACGCATTTTGAAGGTACTGTACAAGTTACACATATTCCACCTGTAAATCACAAGAAACAATCAAAGTTCGAGGGAAGATTTAGATCCATTTTACTAGCGAGTTAAGAGAAAGAAAAAGAGAGAGAGTGTGTGTGTGTGTGTGTGTGTACGGGAATGTTCTAAATAATTTTAGAAAGAATAACAAGGAATAAAAATTATGAAAATTTTAATTTATTTGACGGACATTCGTATTGAATACGTTTCAGAAAAATTGCTGATCAATGGCATTGCAGACATTAACACAATAATCATAAACAATCACATCACAGGATTGATGTGAGTCCACCGCTGCGACTTCTTTCCCCATCTTCCATTTCTTCGATCGTATAAATAAAATTTTCTATATCGAATATAAAAATGGAAATAACGCAACAGCTTTCCAAACACAAATCGCTTGCACATTCTTATGAGGATTATCCATTCCTTGTCATCTTCCCTCTTGTTATAGAATATGTACAGTTACTTATTGAGAAATATGTCACTGACGAATATTTTATTCAATGTACCGTTAGTTAATAGCGTTTGTAAATTGAAGTTGGAAGAATTGTTTTACATTTTTCTTTTTTTAACTAAATTTCACAGCTTTCCAGCAGTGTGTGCAGTCTTGATTCCAGTTTATCTGAAAAGCATACACAAGAATCGATCAGTCTTTGTACCGCGATTAACATGACAACGTGAATATTTTATTATTTCGAAGATGTCTGGTTGATATTAGACGCTGCGCATAGAAAGACGTCGCAGTGAGAATCGAATCGCCAATATGATCTAACATGTGTGTGCAGTGGCAAACACAAATGAGTGTGTCAGTCACGAATTTACATGTATGCAATTTCTCAAACTTGGAATCCACGCATAATAAGAGTAATTTAGGTAGCACAGCTAATAGAGATGACTTACAAAATTTGTCGATAATTTCTTGGATATCTAAAAATTACTTAGAATTTTTCTTCTTCAAGACCGTGTTTGAAAAACATGAGTACAGGCACGGACTCGCCATCAATGTCACGGTACTCCATGAGGCCTACAATTCCATCAATGTCCGATGATATTCCAGTGAAGAATTGCAATTCCTTGAAACGTCCCAGGATATCCTTCATAACTTTGTTCATATTGGTTTTAAATACTTCTACTTCATCGGGCGACTTCTCTTCAAGTTTTGCAACCAATCTGCAAGAAAAAATTTTGCTAGAACAAAGTATTTATATATTTGGAGTAATTATGTATGCTTTGCAACACATTGAGGATATCTACTTTTTCATATAGTCTTTGAGGTACAATGTATAGGACTTTTTATCCCCAAAGGCAAAGGTCTCCTGGAGTCTATGATTCAGGACAACATCAACACCAGACTGTACGATCTCGTCGGTACCTTCACTGGCTTCCTCGGCGGAGGGATTAAAGCCAGCTATATCAACATCTCCTGATTTACGAGTGACTAACTAAAAGAAAGATGATCAGACGTTAAATTATCGCATATGAGATTTAATAAAGGGTGCGCTCACCTTGCCGTACACTTCATAGAGCACATTGTCTACTAATTTGATTTTATAAGCATCGGAAAACATTTCATCTCCTGAAAACATGTGTAAGCAAAAGAGGGTGTAATTATTATCATTTCATAAACAGACGTAACGTTCATCATGAAAACGCGATCGAGTCGGGAACATACGGAGAGGTTAGGAATCTCGCGTTCGGAATTCTCGCCTCTAGCAAGAGGAACCTTATATGGTACAACCTAGTTGCGACGAATCGTCACGTAATATCAAAGCTATGCCCTTTGGCAGCGCGAGGTTAAGGAATAAACGAATATTTCTTTATCATCATTCAAGCACCGTCGATCGCAAAGTGTCATCATTGACTCGTATCATGGGAACTCGATGTCGTGAACGAAAAATATTCGGCCCACGGGATCATACGAATCATTTAGCGCTTACTCACCGGTGAAAAGATCCTTGTAAATCTTCATTTTGGAAGATGGAGAAAGATTTAAATGCGGCTGAAACTAAACAAGATACGAACACCCGAGAATGCGTGGCGGAAAAGAATGTGGTTCACCGAGCGTTGACCGATCAGAGGCAGATTGTGAGATGCGCCCCCTTTTTCACGCATGCGCCTCGAAGGAATACGCAGGGAAGCTACCAACCTGGGATAATAGCTTTTATTAGAGAGCCTCTGGTAGTAGAGTTTTCGATTCCCATTCCGATAAATTTTAACATACGTAACATGAACTTTCGTGTAAAATGAAAAGTTTTAATTCTTCAAATTATAATGAAGTACACGCAGCTGTTTTTCGATTTTTATTTAACGTTAGTTTCAGAAGAGAAGTTGTACGACTTGCTCGTTTCTTAAAACCAACGATCTTTTTCTAATGAATCGTACTATTAGTGTTGGTCCACAATAGGTATTTTAAGTCTAAAGAAATTGACCAATTACAATTGAATTATAAAAGATAGTCAATTATAATTGGTTAGTTTCTTAGGGCTCAAAGCACCTATTGTAGATTAAGTAGGCTAGTTCAATGCTTAAAACGCCCATGGTAAACGGAAACTTAGAAGTTGGACTATTTCTCATAAATATCCTCTTTTATCGGTAAAAATGCCTCTAAGGCCGGTATTTATATATAAGATTTAGAGCAGTACGATGTCCAATGAGCGTACTGCTTTTCCAGAAGTGCTACGCGTTCGTCATTGGACATCGCGTCGTGCTAGTCTGCCATAAGACCTCATCTTGTCGCGGGAAGCATCATGTTGTGCCTGTCACCCTCGCTGAGCTTCGTCTGTATATTATTACGTCCCTGGTTCAAAGTTAATAAATTAACCTCGAACCAGAATGACCACCGGCAAAGACGACGATGCTTTTTGGTACAGCAGCGAAACACGGTCGTTCTGTTTCGAAAACAATGAGGTTATAATTAAAACCTGACAATAACTTCAAATTGCTGTTACTTCCTATTTTATCAATAATATGTGTAGCTTTAGTGTCACATGATAATATGAAAACTCGATGTGTGCCATTGTACAATACATATCGGATGATTGTATGTAGGTGGATCAATTGTTTGGAGTATCGAAAAATGATACGGAGAAATTGTGGGCTGGAATTTCCAAGACATCGATTTCCGAAAGTAACTTGAAGTCCGGCGATGATTTCCAAACTACAAAACCTCTCCTTTCAATCATATCAGAGAAGACCCTTTCTCGCAGTAAGACACAACTTTCATATATCTACCCTATTCAAATGTTTCAAGTAGTTCTTCTATACCGCTGATAAAGGTATTCAATGAGAAAAAAAAAATGTTTGTGTAAATATTATTTAGCACACTTATGTATTGTCCACAGAATATTTTTCCCTTATATGATAGCTATATATTTATCATTTTGCAGTTTTAGCTGTAACCGAGAGTAAGTTGCAGAATGTAGATTCAGAAACAGCTGTTGTCCAGCCAGACATTACTCTGAGAAGAATTTTGTTCGGTCAGCCATATTCATTGGAACAATATAGTTCACTTGCCAGTAAAACCACCTTGTTGGATGCTGCAATTTTAAGTGGAGATGGAAATGCTATTTTGATAGTAGAGACTTTTTTTCTTCTTCAATGAAGCAATATAAAGCCTTGCTATAGTATATCCATAAAATTAATTTGCCATTTCTTATTAATATTTGGTTAATGGTTTTAGATAGTTTTATTTCTCACAAAGACTCTGAAACGATCGTTGGTGCAAAGGTTACTAGCAGACAGGCCAGATGCAGTAAATGTATATATACATTATCTCTTTATAAGATTGCAAACAAATGAGATAACCGACATATTAAAGTATGTAATTTTCCTAATGCGCCATTGATAGCTTGTCACTGTTTTTCTTATGATTGGTATAATTTACAGTATGCTGGGTCATTCTTCAACTGCTGCCGTAAGTGTTGATTCTGCAATTTGTCCCACATGGTACAGAGAAATATATAATTAATCTTATCGTTATAGATGAAGAATCTCCACATCATTATAAAAAATGTAAGAGATCCAAATACATTACTGCAGAAACTTCACAATTGCTACAAGGTACAGATATTACCCGACTGTAAAGAGGCTACGTTTCTCCATTCTTACATTAAACTATTGGGTATGTTTGTAATTTTTTACTCTGATCTGTATAAAAAGACATTGTTTAATTATAAATTAATTACATCGTTAGAATGGCAAATAATGATTAAGCAGAAGAAAGATAATGAGGGACTTGCATTAAATTCTTCGGTTCTGGAATCTCTGCACTACGCATGCAAATATCACTGCAGCACGCCGGATAATTTTGTCGTGATATCACCTACGACTCTCTCTCGCGAACACGATATTTCTCCCAGATTGTATCAAAAAGTCGCTTTACAAGTTAAGGCAACCTGTGGTGCATGGGACGATATCGATCGCTTACTTTTAACAAAGGTAACACCTTCTTTCGTTTTGTAATTAAAAAAGAATTTAAGTATTACGGTTATCGGAAACATTTTACATCCCAACTCTATATTTTAGGGAATGCTTGGGAATACAAAATTGCAAACATGTTTATACATAGAGGATGTTTTGAAAGTATTGCACAAGCACAACGCGTCGCACGCTGTTCTCGAAAAATATTTAAAATTCGTTGATAATTTGGAAAAACGACTAGAATTGGCGAAGAAATTATCTTGTCATACGACAGCTATTGATGTACGTACATATATATGTGACACAGTAGGGACTTACAAGGATAGTAGTAAGATAGATAGTAGGGAATTATAAGGGAGAGAGAAATTGATGAAAGAATAGAAATTATATACAGGATGCTCCCCTCCCTTCCTAGACCAACACGGACAAACTTTGTGAGAACGGATTGAATTTAAAAAAAGTCCTCCACCATTTTGCAAACGACACGCAAAATTTCGAGTTATCATTGCAAATTTTTATGAAAACTTCTTTAATTGATGATGCAAAAATTTGCGCGCGTTTGCAAAAATGGTAGAGGACTCTTTTATTCAATCCGTTCTCACGAAGTTGGACATTCCGTATATTGTATGGTAAATTTTTTTTTTTACAGATATTCGTGCAACAAGGGGACCGTGCAATTCTCGTGGACTATAAGGCAAAACTGCAACCCCAATCGGAGGAATATTTTTACGCCGAGAACGCTTTACGTTTACCTCACGTCAAATGGAAAAGTTAAATCTCTCTTTGTGGGAAAATAATATATTTCAATTGTGTGATATTATACGTTCGTTTTAACACATTATCGTGAAAAATGATATATTTAAATACGATTACGTAGTCAAAGAAAGAAAGAAAACCAAATATTCTTTTCTCTCTCTCTCTCTCTTTCTCATTCATTCAATATTTGGCTATACAGGCACTCCTAAGAGTTTATGTTCCGATGTTCCCTATATTTCCAGGTAGGGATGGACAAAATCATCTATGTTCGCTCATTGAGGATACGTCGTACAAGTTTATCGGAATTTCTAGAATCCCCGATATTTTCACTAGATGTCTCTAATACCATCCTCAATAATCGATGATATTGCCCGTCCCTATGTCCAGGTTCTCTTTTCCCGACTAATAGTCGGATTTAAGACCGTCTTGAATTTATCTTCAGATGCTTCAGAAGCTCATTTCATTGGCTACGAAAGATCTGAGGATAAACTGTCTGAAATGTAAGACCCGATTATGAATATCGGCCCTTATCTAGCCTAAACGTACTTTCCCAGAGGGCGTAGCGAAAAACGGTGGAATTCTTCAGGCTTCTCTCTGATATAACTAGACTTGCGTGTGCCTTGCAAAGCAACCTATACGGTTCACCGGGGTGCGTGTAGAGCGGCGCGCGCGGCGTCGGCCAATCGCACTCGGGCGAAACCGTTAGAAGTTTCTGTTGTGTGCGCGTTTGAACGATCTAGTGCACATTTGTCATCTGGGTGCGCGAACCACTCCCGTTCGTCGTTACCGCGTTTTCGCGAACCTTGGTAAGTGTACGCATACAATTGTACATACGGTTATGCGCGCCTTCGCCTGGTATGCCCGAGGACGAGCGAACGACCAGCGCATCGATAAAGAATGCCGAATATGTCGACTGCGAGTTTCGCCAAAAAAGAAAAAAAAAAGAATGGAATCTCTCGGAGCTTGCCGAGTTTTGGCCGTTCGTTCGCTCTCCGTATCGCCGATGCTTCAAGATGCTTCTCTTCCTTTCTCTTGTTTTCTTCCTTTCTTCTTTTCGTCGGCTACGCTTTCTCTCGCGCAATATTTTCTTCCGTTCTCTCATTTATTCGCGAGTCTCGAATGTATCGTTTCAAGTGCAAAAAGTGTAGTACATGAATCCCAAGTCTGGATTGTTGTCGAAAATTTTACTCGGCGGTTTCGTTTACCCGCACAACAGTGAGACACGACATCTTTAATTATCATTTTCCTCGTGTTTTTTTGTAAGCCAACGACAATTACAACAAGAAAAAGCTATGCTCCATACAATACTTTGTGAAAGATGCATGATACAATAATAATTATCACTGTCATTAATTTTCATGAAATTGAGACACATCTACTATAGCAGATTATCAATGTTTGTAATATCGTATATTTATTCTATGATTTCCAGTTAGAACAAGGAGCGGAGCAACATGGCTGTTAACGTGTACGCCACAAATATGACATCCGACAACCTTAGTCGCCACGATATGTTGGCTTGGGTAAACGACTGTCTTCAGTCGTCATTCACCAAGATCGAGGAACTGTGTACGGGAGCGGTCTACTGCCAGTTCATGGACATGCTGTTCCCTGGCAGTGTACCTTTGAAAAGGGTCAAATTCAAGACCAATTTGGAACATGAGTACATACAGAATTTCAAAATTCTCCAAGGTGGCTTCAAAAAGATGAATGTGGACAAGGTAAGCGAATTGCTTCTTTCACATTCATACAGAGCCTTGATAAATCTAAATTACAACTGGTATACGACTTATTTACCGGTCACAGAACGATGACTATATATATGATAAATGCAAGTGATATATCGTCAAGATCAAATGATTATTTATAACAATTGTATTTGAAATTTTCCTTTTGCTTTTATATATATATATATAGACACATACAATTTTGTTACATTATAACCGTGAATAATTATTGGAATTGATTTAACAACAATGTAGCTTACGGTAGAGAAAAGGTATGCAATCAGAGGTGCAACGCACATGTGAAATAATGATTGATATTATAATAAGCACAGAAACAATCGCTAAGTAGCGCAATATTTTAGACAAATAACGAAAGGTAAGGTGTCGCGCTATATAAAAAATTATGTCGAGACTACATTGTCCCACGATAGAATAGTTATCCTGTGAAACAACGTGTGCGGGGTATTGTAATGACACAGCTGTGAAAATGGTTCAGGTAATACCAGTGGACAAGCTGATAAAAGGGCGCTTTCAAGACAACTTTGAGTTTCTGCAGTGGTTCAAAAAGTTTTTCGATGCAAATTACGACGGTCGTGAGTACGAGGCTTACGAAGCGCGTGGCTGCATACCGCTGGGTTCCGGCGTCGATGGAACGCATAATCTGTCGAATCCCCAATTGGTGCCGTTGCCACCGCAATCGAAGCAGCCGCAAATACAACAAAAACATATACAGCAACGTAACAGTGTCCCGCGACAGCAGCAGGGTATATCTGCTTGCAGTCTCGATTTTACTTCTTGCATGCTGTTACTCGCGTCGTACAAATCCGCACCTTGGAAGGAAAAGGTCCGTCCGTTTAAGACCGCCGCAGCTGAAAACCTTTCTCTTCCATTAATGTCATACATCGGTTAAGCAACAATTATTTATGTTATCTTCGGTTTAGCTCATTCAAATACCGAGCTTTTCGCAGCGTATTTACCACACTTCGTATGCACTTTTTTAATTTCAGACGTCGTGAGTATGCAAAAAGTATGTAGAAAGAGATAGAAATAGACGCACCAAGATCTATGGCACGTATTTTTGTAAATTGTTAATATATGCACAATATACATACATGTGTAGAGTAGGATTTTAGCTGTTTACGTCCTGTATTTGTATGCTGATTTATTATAAGCTGAGAGAAATAGTTCCCCTGCAACTCGAACAAGTAAGCTTGTTCGATGTATCGCATCAGAATGTAGGAGAAACTTGTTCGCCCTTTTATCTAATGCTCGTTTCGCACAATTTCGTACATACGAATTATTTCCAGTTAAGAAATCGTGATATCTTTAAATCCTCTTTAATTTAGTAATGCCACACACACACACGCATATATATGTCATCTCTGTTCAATATTTGTTTTGTTTTGCACACACACACATACACACCCACACCTTCCGCTCCTCATTTGCAGATTGTACCAATTGATAGGCTGGTGAAAGGCAGGTTCCAAGACAACTTTGAGTTTTTGCAATGGTTCAAGAAGTTCTTTGACGCAAACTACTCGGGAGCAGAGCCGTACGATGCGCTTGCAATGCGAGGAGGGGAGCCTATGGGTAGTGGTGGAAATAATGCACCCCGTGGTTCTAACGTGAAACGTACTTCTCCACGTGAAACGGTCACGACTAAATCTGCTGCCCCTCGTACTGGTACATTACACTTCATGATTCCCCTCTTTGATAAAATGGAATTTAACAGACTTAACTAGTAAATCGGATACGATGCAGAATAGATGTTTTTTTTTTTCTTTTTAAGTGTAACCTGTACATTAATATAAATTTTTATTAATTGATACATACATTCGACGTGCGCCATAGAAATCTTACGAATCTTCCTATTTAACACTTCTTATTTATCAGGCAAATCAAACCGACCGTCGAGTCGGTAGAATTATAAGCTCCCTCGTCACCTTGAGATCTTTGTGATCAATATTTCGACAAAATTTCCCGTTGTTATGTATCACTCGGACCGTAATAACTCGAAATGAAATTTGCCTGTAGGTGAGGGACATCCATCTTCGGTGCGCGCAGATAGTGCAAACGCATTAGGTGAAACACGACATACCATTTTGTTTTTTTTTTTCGTTGTAATTCTCTCGTCACTTATGCTTTTTGCCTCTTTGAATCCTGGATATGTTTTAATTAACGCGTTAAGAACAGTACAAATTACATGTTGCAAATTACAATTACATTACAAAGTACATCCCGGCAATTTTTGTATTGGCCGAACATTTTGTCGAAGTGTGATATTTTCGTTAGTATTGATTACTCTGACACGCGAGAAAATAAATGCCAAAACATATGAAATTGGGCTGGCAAGTAAATCGAAGAATAAACAGACATATATAACTTCGCGTTTTATATATAACTATTACATTGCTTACATTGTTTCAAAGTGATTTCTCGTACGATTATTGTAGCCTTCCACTAGTTTATGATCGTTACTTTCAAACACTCGTTAACGCACGCGTAGAAACAAACAAATGAGAATTATCTTTTCGTTTCCTAGGAGCACTTGCCTCGTAGTTTTCTATCATTATACACACAAATGAACATATCTTTTATTCTTTCTTTTCTTTGTATATATACTTGTAAGATTGATTACAATCATCAAGTATGTTATGCATGCTTCTGAACTGGATTGTTGCATGCATCGTTTTGCTTTTCACAACGCAGCTCTTGTATATCTCTATATTTAAATAACTTCATCGATTCTCGCGATATAAATAATTCGTTTTAACACAATTCTATATATAATCAACTTACGCATTAAAGTTTAATGTTAACGTGCTATTTTCTTCGTCTTTAGTAAATAAAGCTCAACCATACCGCGCGCCACCCAAGAACACAGCAGTCGGCAGCCGTGGTGATACGGGTAAAATCGAGGAACTTAGCGCACAGGTATCAACACAATCCTTGTCCAGATTGATAATTTCTTACAAATACATATGTTACTTATAATCGTACACATCTCTCGTATGTATGTTTTCATGTAATGAAAATTCCAACGAAATATTTCAGTTGGTTGAGTTGAAAATGTCGGTCGAAGGTCTGGAGAAGGAGAGGGACTTCTATTTTGGGAAATTACGCGACATAGAGGTGATGTGCCAAGACTGCGACAACGGCGATCCTCCACCTATTGTACAGAAAATTTTAGAAGTCCTTTACGCGACAGAGGTAATTTACATTATTTCTCTATTATGTTCGTGAACAGGGAAAAATGTTTGATTTAAAAAAAGGGGGGAAGGGAGATCGTCTAAATATGGTTGGTATAAACATTAGTGGTTTAATAATACACATATAGCTTATTATATACAGATATTAAAGATAGATTATATAATTATTCGGTTGTATTCTCGCTTTTCCGGAGGGGTTACTGAATTTGTTGAATTCTGTACAACAGCTAAAGTTAACATTTTATCGCGAAAAGACATTTAACGTCACTTTAACTACTTCCGTTGTAATTTAACATTTTCGCAAAATATATTGCTTTATAATTTTCCTCTATGAATGTAAACGGGGTTATATGTTGGTAATTAGAGTTTCGACCGATATATTTAATTACAAGACTACGTGACACAATGATTATTCCAGGAATTAAAAGATGAAGAGAAAGCTGCGAAAGAAACTTATTAGCATCTTTTTTTTTACATTTTCGTAACAGGCTCGTTCTTGATGATAAGGTAATGCCATTTTAGCTAAACATTTTGAGCGTTCTGGTCGTATTTGATTATTAACATGTAACTTTGGAAGTGTGAAGTGAGATCAGTACGACGACGTTGAAAGTACTTTTGCACTTGATTCTGTGATTCTTGTTCTGTCTGGTGTCTTGGTTATTCTTTAGGGTTTCCCTCAGTGTGTCACACCACACTTTTTTAATTAATCGCACGATCGCCCACTATATATACATATCATAAATATCAGTAGTTTCTTAACAACCCTCATGTTTTTACATATTGTATGTACGCATATGTACGTGAAATTCGAAGAACATGACTCATCGTGGTTATTATTTCAGATATTTAATCTTTCTTTCTGTTTATCTTAACAACTACCATAGCATCTGTTAAATTCAGTTTAAATCCTTTCGGATTGTTTCGTTTTTACGTTAACATTGATACATTTTTATCACTTGTTGATTAAGTGATTAAAGAGAGATTATATGTTCATATTTAGATGTTACATTTAGAACGATATACACACTTTCATCTTCCAATTATTAATTATTATATGAGGGATGATCTCTTTCTTTCTCTTCTTAATTCGCGATTGGATAAGTTGGGAAGGGACATTTCTCTTTCTTTCGTTAACGGATAAATTGTCTGACGCTTCTGCTCGTCTTTTTAGGACGGTTTTGCACCACCTGAGGAATTGGAAGGCGACGGACTCGCACCCGACGACGAGGAGGAATATTAACCTTTTTTATTTACGGATGTAATTGAAAAGAACAACAGTAAATTATCCAAGTGCGTTTCAGTTTACCGTGAGCCAGTATCCCTTGCATAATTATTAAGCTACTTTACATAGCAAATTCACCAGATAGCAGACTGTGCGTTCGTTTTGTTGATGAAATTCACCGAAATCATTAAGATTTGCACGGCATTAGAATAGAGATAAGTCGTGTAGTGCACTTGAATAACTTGTTCTTTACGGCCGTGACGAGAGAGAGAGAGGGAGGGGGGGGGGGGGGAAAANGGGGGGGAGAAAAGAAGGAAAAATCGATTAGTATATAATCTTTTACAAGTTATTACAATTCTTTATAGCGTTACAAACGATAGAGTTCCGAAGATCGATGACTCTCGAATCGTCGCAAATTCGTGAATACACCGATCCTGTTAAAGTTGTCCGCATCCATATTGTTACGCAACAGCGATTTACGTTATATGTACACATCTCTTTTTTTAATGCGTGAGTGTTTTGTTTGCAAATGTATTAAGTTTGTCATCTCCTGTCAATCCGTTTTGCCTTCTAAGAGCTACTCTTTGTAGCTTCTATCTGAAATGTTATACACCCGCTGAGACAGAGCTGTTCGTTTTCTACGTGCAATGTAAGTGGCCGGTGCGCACCCGGTGGTTCTCGCGCGGAACAGTAGATTCTCTTGTCAGCGAAACAATTCATACTCTATCATGTTAGTGATTAAAATTTAATTCCGCTCATTGACGTTCTAATCTGTGTCAATCTCATCGCGGAGAAAAGAAAGAGAGAGAGAGAGAGAGAGAGAGAGAGAGAGAGAGAGAGAGAGAGAGAGAGAAATGAGAAAGGATAAAAAAAAAAGAAGAACATGCTATCGCATAATAAATAATACATAGGGATACAAACATCCGAGCGTACTCTAATTTTGGTAAATTAGACAGTGTGCGCTTCGTGAGAGCATATTGTGAGACAGAATGGTACGCTTATGCATCGATCGCTGAATTGTAAGATTGTAAGAATTGTAAAAGACTAATTAAAGTTATAGCTGGATATATTGAAAGATCCGTCTATGTGTCAACGTTTATCCCGTACAAATCGATTCAATAGCAAAGGGAACCATCACGTCTGCATCTCCATGACGATCTCTCGCGAATCAAAATGGCCTTAAATCTACGAGATTTGAATTTGAAATTTTAAAGAAAGTACTCAGAATCGAGCGAGCGCCTGAAGCGTTTTTTCAATTGATTTCGGAAGAAAAGCAACGACGATTACGTGACTTATATTCTTAAAAAAAAAAAGAAAAAAAACTTTCAAAAGGGCAGAAACGAGGAGGACGAAAGAAACTGTAAAACTATATATTTCGAGAGAGCGTACGAGTGAAAGATAACGAGCGAAAGGATTTGCGACATGTAGACGTCCTGCTTACGTGTTTGGCTGGCGTGTGTGTGATTGCGCGCGTGTGCTTTCAATTATTGGTCTCGATGCGAAATGAGATCAATCATTGATCGTAGGCGCATAAGAATCGGATCGATATTAAATGAAAAGGATAATCGTGAATAATCGTTTATTTGGCTAGAATGTAACTCGCACTACATACGCGACTCTGCTAAGTTTTTTTCCGGCGAAGGGGGAATACGTTTTGGCTTGCGCTCCGTTCGTCGCTCTGTACGCGCGCATATGTGCTTCGAAATTTGAAATTTTAATGCCGATGTAATAAACGTTTAATAAAATCCACCTGAACGCAGATTGTTTTCATCAAGAGTCCCATACCAGACCAGTCCTCGAGTGGTCTCCGATATTTCGCTCAATCCTCTTCGACTGGAAGGAGACTCAAGGAGATGTGAAATCGATAGAAATGAATATGAGAGACGACGCGCGAGAAACTGCTTGATCGTGAGTGAGTACAAAGTAGAAACGCTAAAGGAGATTGTCGAAGGAGATGGCCGTGAACGTTAAGCAAGACGAGTGATACGCTCCGGCCAAAGGTCCGCGATGCTCGTAAGCTTCTGCTCTCGTACCGAGCTCTGCATTTCCCAGTCGAGAGAGCCGCGGTTCGCGCGTGTGACTCTCTTTGCAGTCTCAACGAAGCGAAGGACGCGCTGTTCCAAGATCGTCTACGCGAAAATCACCGCTGGCCCGTCGCGTCTTTGACGAGGTAACGCGACGTCACGAGTTCATTGAAAAAGAGCAATGTAATCGAGAAGGTATATATTATACTTTGCAGCATTGGAAATATCGAACTAATGGCCGAACGAGCCTTCTTGTGATGACCTATATTACCTCTGCTCGTTATACAGAATGAACTCGATTTTAATAACATATTCGATAAATTTGTTTTTAACGAAGGAAATTGTATTTTCACGTATCGAAAGAGAGTACGTAGTAGAGAATAACTTCGACACTACCGTGATAAGTATTACGACAGCATCGAAATCAGCTGGAGATTTGTATGTTGACCAGTTTGTGATGCTTTGTCCTTTGTGATATAAATATTTATGATGCTAACGTCATCGAATAAAGATTCTAGTAGATTATAGTAGTATCTCGAGGCGCGCATACGGTGAATTAGATTCTTGATCACCGGCGAGAAAAGAGAAAATTTGCAATTAATTTTTACACTCCTTTGCTGCATCTAGCTTGTATAATCGCTACGTTTACGGATAATTTTTCGCCACGTGTTGTCGATTGCTAAATAATATAGCTGTGGACACAAGTGTAGACAAAATATTTCTAGAAACGACTTTCGCATCAGCCGATAAATATGACATTTCGTCTGCGAATTTATATAGTTTGTAAAAACATTTTTCGCCAACACAGCGCTGCGGTAATTTATAACGATCTATTGTCCCTTTCCTGAGAAAGATTAAAATCACTTTGTGCTTCAGATGCGAGTAGACACGCACGCATCTCCAACGAAATTTAGCTTCTCTCTTTTTTTTCGTGCCACCGATACGGATTTGACAGTCAACTGCCGCGCGAATAAAACGAAAACACGATAAAAGCCGAAAACACAAACATCGGATAACGAATAAGATCGTAAATGGTGTTCGCTAGACAATATACAGACGAGGTCTTGATTTATTATTGACGTCTAGCATGTGTCGCGCTAAAGCGATTCGCTGGAAATTCACGAGAGTACAGATAAGTGCGACGCTTCTTTGGATCGAAGGATAGTAATTAATCCTCGGTGAATGATCATTTTGCTTCTTTCGCGCGCAAAATTAGAATGTTTGATAGAAAGAAAAATCGACGAATTTTCGCTATTCCCAATATTATGTTCTTATTGTGCACAATTCAAGCACAATTAATCAAAGTTCTTTCGTCAAGATAAAGGTGACACGTATTTTCGCGCATAATTCGCTTTTAGCCGCGAATTTGAAACGAATTTAACTCCGCGGTATCTCATTAATATCGCTCGATCCGTGCGAGGAAAGCTACATTAAATTGTCGAGCAAGTTATATGAACTTTGCACGTTGGGAAAATGTCACTGATAAAACAGCTTAAAAAAGCTGCTTAGTCAGTGAATTATTCTTACCAATCGTGTACACACGGATCGCGAGCTTCGAAAGATTGTAAAGCGCACGAGTATTGCGAAAATTGTTCTCGCGACTGAGGAAAACGCTATTTGTTCTATATAAAATTTGGATTAGAATAGATCAAGCTGTTTCGCATCTATTTCGACGAGAAAGATTAAATAAACGCGTAATACCGTGGAACATTTCGGGACGATGTGTGTCTTTATTACTAACACTGAGAGCTTTAGCTATCTTCTCGCGTTAATAATCTCTAAAGTATCTTCATGCCGAGAGAAAGAATGCTTTTGACACGTGTCGAATAAAAAAGAAATCTTCAGTGTTTCCGCGCGCGATCGGAGGAATTTCTACACTCATCGCGTAGTGGAAGAAGCGTTGAAATTAATTCATTGTTATGATTTGCACGTAAATTTCCTATGAATTGCCGATAAGACAGACGCGCGTAGATTAATGCGTGAAAACTCGCGATAAAATTCGCGAAACACGTAGATATCCTCCAGTGAGACGCTAAATCTCGGTGGTTGCGCATCGCTGTGTTTCGCGTGGTGAGAATAACGCCGTTGTATACGGCAGTTTTTGTGCCTGATAAAGACGAGGTCGCGCCTCCTCGATAGCGCTTTATCGCCCATTTTGCTTTCTTTATTGTTTATTCACAACTGAGTCATTAAGATTTAATGGAGGTGAATTTTATTCTCTCACTCCCTCGCCGAGGACAACACGTTTTTTCTGGCAAATTTTAAGAGATTGCATAATTCCAGCTAGCATATATATACGACATTATAATGTTTCGAGAAAACTTGCGTTAGAAAGAGATATCTGAATAAATTCTGATGATAATTACTACTATGGAAAAAAAATGTATCGGAAGAAAATCCTTTCGGTGTATCCTCTCGGGAGCACATCCATACTCTCCTTCAAAAGGAGGAAAGGCGCTTTCTCAATTTGTTAAATTGGAGCGAGCTACTTGTTTGAAAATTCGTCGCACACTTCACTTTCTCTCGTATTCTTGCAGGCTTATCCCTCCAATCATACGGCACGTAACAATGACCACAACGAAACGAGAGTCTGTCGCGGTAAGATTTCAAAATCATAGGCGCGCGTAGTAACGAAAGAACGGGTAATCGTTTGCTCATTCGTTAGGAAACATCGCCGAAAGCGGGATGGATGCAATCGGCAGTGGAGAAAGGAGCGCGAACTTGGATCGGTCAAGCCATCTTGAGACAGTTGGACACCTTTCTGTGGGTCGTAGAGAAGTCCGCGGAATGGAGTTTACCTCGGAACGAAGGCAACGCATTATTAAATCATTATCGCTCTTTTATATTTTACGAAATTTATTACGCGATTTTCCGCAGAGTCGAAATACAAGCCGTCTATTTCAGACGAAAGCGAGGAATCCAGGGACCTTGTGAGACCGCTACCGTGGATGTTATTCTTGCCAACCTTGCTGTTTTTACGTATGATCAGAGCGAGCCTGAATATGGGTGCACTGATGTTGGGCTTCCCTCGAGTCTCCTCGACCTCAATGGTATGCACTTTACAGATGATTGAAAGGCAGCGTTGTTTTTATCCGACCTCAAAATATCCCTCCGGCAGGTGAGATTCGCGCAGAAGAGTCGCTACCGTTTGGCAACCGTCGGTAAGACGAGCAGATCGTCCAAGAAAATGCGAGACGCACAGGTAAGACCGCTGAACACGCCGCGTGATTAACGAATGCACAGCAACGTACTCTAAGAGAGATAATCAAATTAGCACGATAATAGTCTCTCGGTGGTGTAGGACAAGAGATTGTCGATGAACCAGGCCAAGAAGGCCCTCATCAGATCCATTCGCCTGACCTTGTCGACTCTATCCTGCCTGGACGGATCCAAACCCTCCCTGTCACCGCCGCCCACCAGAATTCACATTAGTGCCCTCGATGCAGTAAGTAGAACGCGAGTGTTATAATGAATCGTTTTTAAGACCAACCGGAGGAATTGAGGCAGCCACGACCATCTATCGAGAAAACTGCCGACGAAAAGAAATTTCTCGGCTGTATTTCTTGCGTGTAATTGAAAACGAAGAGATAACTTCCTTCCGCAACGGAATAAGGGCCAGACAAGAAGTGATGTGACTGAAAATATTCGACTTTTAGCTGCGTTAAAACGACTGAATCTTTCGGTGCAATCAAATCCGGTCAATATCGCTTTTTTCCTGTAGAGGTAGAATGTGTTTGATGAAATAACAAACTCTTTTCCAAAGGCGACGGGGGAAAAATCAACGACGGGATCGAGCGTTACTCCTAAGGAGAAGATGAGAGAGGAGCTGACGAAATTCGCGAGCCAATCCGACGTTTTCACCGAGCCGGGGAGGAACGACCAACTCGAGTGTAATTCTCACGATGTGAGTGCAGAGAGAATACACCAAGTAACATAACTAGCAGGAAATCGTTTGCATTGCAAAAAAGCACAGACTGAATGTTTGTTCATTTCATAAATTTAGGAAACAAAGACGGAACAGAGCTACGACGGGCAAAACGAAGATGGACAGAGCGACGAGGGAAAGCAGAAGAAACATAAGGTCGAGTGTGATCAGCAGGATGATGACGGCGAGGTGATCGAGCAGACTGTCAACGATTCTCCGGAGAAAACGCCCGGCCTCAGTCAGGACAGTGATATCCATTTTTTCTCTCCCGTCGAGTCGAGCGCCTCGAGGTCGAGGAGTTCGAGCGACTCGAGCATCTCGAACAGTACTCAATCCGTTCGGAGTAAGTAATCCAGACTCGCTCGCATCCGCCGCTTGATTTCATCGCCTGATGATACACCGAATCTATCAGATTATTTATCTTCGGGAGTATTTCCGTGTACTTGGGGAGAGTATCGCGAAGAAATTTCAGACTCTTAACTTTTTTTCTCTCTCTCTCGCATAAAAAATATTATTATTGTTCTGGTCAAGATACTTGAGTTATTCCGCACACAAAATATGTACGCTAAGGAATAGTTGATCGGTCAAAATACAATTAATCGACGGAGGAGGATCTGATGGAATAGAAAGAAAAGCAATTCATGCTGGAAAACGCGCACAATTTTGCCTATGAAGCTTTTATACGAATTTGCTGTCTATATTCTCTGCTACTGAGTGGACTTTCATGCATGTACAGGATGCCCCGCGAAATATATCATCAAATGAAATTAGCAGGAAATATTAAAAGTGTTAAAACAGCAATGTATGTAAAATCACGAGTCCAACTATTAAATTTGTATGTTACTTGGAAATACATGATTATTTGTATGCGAAACACATTATTCTCTTCGCTTGATATTATTATTGTTGGTTATTTGGCTGGAAATTGAAGGATTCCTGCGCGCGAACAATCTCTTTCGTGGCGCATCCTACAAATCTAACGGAACGGATCAGTTTTGGTGGGATCGTCCGAATTGCGAGGGCAATTTTGTTGTTTTCTATGTTCGCTAGACTCACACCAAAGAAATAGCCTAAAGACGAACGAATATGGCAACGGCGAGGCACGTTTCATCACGGAACAAACAGGTATGTAATGTTGATTACGCACCGATTATACGATCGATTTACCGGTCGTTAATTTGATTCAGATCGAAAAATCGACGTAACGAAGAACCGACGCCCCCTTTCGACGGGACGATCGCTCGAAGAGACCAATAACGGCAAGCGCGGGACAAGTGCAGGCAAATATCACCACTATCGGGGTAAACGCACGAGTCACGGAAATCGCAAGAAAAAATGATCCATTGTTTACAGAGAAAGACGAGAGAAAGATTTTATTGGCGATACGCATATAATATCATATCGTGACCGGTTACGCAATTGTTAGGGATCGAGATTACGATTTGGAATAAAGAGATAAATTTGTTCGCCATCACGGTCTGATAGATATGGCGGCTATCGAGTCTTTAAAGAGTTGCCAAGTTGTTTCTCGGTTATTAGTACGAAAGGGAAATTTTTTCCGAGATTTTTACGTTATTCGGGAGGAGTGTCGTCCGAAACGGTCGGTCCAAAGTTCCGCCTTCGTTATCGCTCGCTCGACCGATCTATCTCGCGCCTTTTCTTGATAATAATGTAATTATAGTTTGCGAGATAGAAGGAAGAAAAAAAGGGAGGAAAAGGCGTATCGGCGAGAGAATCGCACATTATCGCCGTCGATGTAATTCGATTCATTTGAAATCTCTTAATCGACATTAGGCGGGGCCCCTACGTTAGTCCGGCGGAAACCTGGTGGAAGAGAAAGTGCATCTAAATATCGCGGCGATACGACCAAAGTACACGAGCATTATCGTATTATTTAGACTAAACACCGTCGCTTGCGTGACAATTACGTAATTCCCCTGTAATCTTGACCTTGAGTGCGCTGTTTATTCTTCGATACGTAATGCGATCGCGCGCGAAAATCGCGATTAAAATCCGCGTGTTGTTTTTGAAAATGCCCGTCGATTGGATCTCTCTCTCTCTCTCTCTCTCTCTCTCTCTCTCTCTCTCTTTCTCGCTCTCGAATTGTGCAAAATAGTTACTAATGATAATATCAGTAATATTATTATTTATACGATACCGCGACGCGGTCCGGAATTATTGTCGTTCATTCTGCATCATTCGTTCATCATCGATCACCATCGCGGTAAACTTAGAAAATAATCCGCTCGCGCGGACAGAGAGAAAAAATGACGACTTATAATTTATATTTCTATACGCGATATTCTCTCTCTCTCTCTTTGTACAATATAAAGTTCACGAGATGATAATTGTTTTACTAACGATTTTACGATAAAAATAAATGATTTAATCGTGCCGATACAAGAGACGTCGTTTCGCAGATCACCGTAAAAACGCAAGCAAGAACGATAAAGCGGCCTGAATCAATAGTGATCGATAACACTCTCTCTCTCTCTCTCTCGTCTTGCAAATCTCTCTTCTTCGTGCAAATTTCTGCGTCGCTGAAAATTATATCAATCCTTTATGCGTACAAGTCCCACCTACCTTTTTATAAAATTATTAGAGATACCAGGACGTCCAATTTTTGCGACGCGCAACAACCGCCCTTATCGCGCACCGCGATAACACGAGATTAGACCCATATGTCATAGACGATAAACATGTCACGGTGTCTTGGAAATTTCACCAACAAGTTGCACCGCGCGGCAACGATAGGTGTACATAAGGAATCATCGGCGTCGCGATCGATCCTTTTATTCACAAAGGGGAGATTCTTCACCTGAAATGACCAGCACGCTAATTTCAATCGTTGCCTCGCGGCTTATCTGCGCGCGAGAATCATTGCATAAATAAATACAGATAGTGAGGGAAACTCTTTATCAGTGCACTCGTAACCGGGGCTCTGTTCGGTAGCACTTGTCGGTTAAGCCTGGATACTTCATCTCGAGGGTCTCTTGTCATTAACAAATTGTAAGGTACAACCGACCGTCAAGTAGCAACACTCACATCGTCCCTTCCGGTTTTCAAATTTCCCGATAAACTGCTTTCCCAACGTCTCACCTGAAACTTTTGTGCGATTATCCTCGCGATAGCGATAATGAAGAAACTGAAATTACGCTGCGTCAGCCTTGGCTTGGTAGAAAACTCCTGGTAGAAAATCCTAACGTAAATCACTATCGATATCTATCGATATTACACGTGGTAGAGATACGGCAATCTGTAATTTCATTCTTTTTCCTTCCCTCGCGACACGTCGGAGACATCCATTCCGGATGAGAGAAATGTGCATTCTCCGTCAAAAGTAAGCTTTCCCAGCGCTCGGGAGGTTTTCGACGCGCAAATTTTGAGACTTTGCGCGATTAGCGATATTGCGCAAAGTCAGAGGTGAAGAAATATCGATAAGAGGAGGCATTTTATTATTATTTTTGAAGCGCGATTTAAATATATAAAAGGCGATTATGCAAGTGCGTGAATCGACCAAGATCGAAGAGACTCGATAATATTTCGGTTCCTCCGACACACGTTACGATTTGCGGTAGTCAAACTAATCTATGTAGGCTGTTATCGCACAGATAACGTTGCCGGAGCTCCTATCAGGTAGCCATATTTTTGATACAATATATAGGTGATCGATATATTGCCACATAGTTCTCAGTGAGGCGGCTATCACGTTGAGTTGAACCAGAGAGAGAGTACAACCTCTCTCTCTCTCTCTCTCTCTCTCTCCTTTAATTCGTTCGTTCGGGGACAAGTTCTCTCGCTAATAGACACACTCGCCGAGTACAACGAGTGAGGACACGTGGATGTTACCCGCGGTCAAGATGTTTCGTATCTCTTGAACGCGAGCTGAAAATCGCGCGAATAAAGTCGCGCGCCGAAGGAGGAAGAGGCTCCCCGATGTCATCGCCGAGGTTCTGATCAACGGCTTCGTTATCCAGGGAAACGAAGAGAAACATGGCGGCCGGATACGACGACTGTTACGACGCTTCTTGGCATTTGATACCGCCGGACTATGTCAGCAATGAGGAAGATTACAGGTAAAAACACGGTGAACACGATTTTTGTAATAGAATCTTCGACGGAATCAATATAGAAGCGACCCGATCGAATGATCATTTTCACGTTCAATTAACATATCTGATTATGCGAATAACACCGGAAGCAAGCGTTTAAGAGCAGTCACGCATATCGGGTAGAGTGGTACGCCTTGATACACGGAGGAGCGAGAGTGCCACGTTGCGCCAACACCTGTTGGTTTCCATCATAAATTTCGGATTAATCGCGTTGCGATTCTACTACTGCTCCCGTTGCACCTGCGGGGGGGTCGACACATTGCCGCGTCCATCTTGTGGATGGCGTACAATTATATATTTACAAATAATAAAAAGAGAGAATTGATGTCCCGGCACAAGATTGACGAGCTTCACGCTTTCAGCAGTACAAACGCGACGTTCTAGTACGTGAGATTCTATTCTCGACGCACAATTTCGAAGACAAAATGTTTCCCAAACGACATCTTGGTGGCCGGGCCTTAAACACCTTAAGGTTCGACGGAGCCCATAGTGTGAAAGTGGGACCCTCTTCAATAAGGAGCACTAAAAGAAGGATCCTTGGGGGCTCCAATGCGGCGCGTACTACGTTCATTCAGACTGCTACCGTTGACTCTTTGTGCCAACTTTATGAATGAACGTAAAACTCCCCCTGCCGTCGAATTCCGCCGGTCTTTTTTACAAGTCAGGTGGTTTTGGCAAAGAGAGATATTTCGAGGAAAAGGTAACGCCGTCGTTAGTGTCGAGAGTACGTGCGAAAGTTAATAAAATGTCGATACTTTTAATTGCGCAATCTTGATCGTCGAAATCAATGATGCAAGCAAAGGGGGAAGAAGAAGATCTCGTGCGAATGAAGAGACTAGAGCGCCGTGGATCGCTTATTTTTCAGCGATAACGCTGAAATATATAGCAAACAGTAAGAGAAGGAAAAATTCGACAGAGAAAGGAAGATGAAACTGAAGCAACATTCTCAACAGCATCTAACATATTTTATAATCCCCGCAGGCACTCGAGTCTAATGGTACTTGAGTTCAGTCATGATGAGCAGGTTTCTCAGCTTTGTGAATAACATTCGGAGCAAAAACTAACGACTGTGAGAGACGAGAGAGAAGATTTAGCCCGAAAAGCAGTCACGTACCTACAGGTTCCTCACGGCAGGTAGGTCCATTTTGTTATGTTAATGACGATCAGATGAAATATCCGCTAAACGGACGAGCTGGCATTCATAGCGGCACGTTTCTTCACAACGCCGAGGTATCAAGTGGCCATTCGGTCGGCAAGTGGTACCTGTGAGACTCGTCGAGTAGTGATGGAAGCCTCGTCGACGAGAACTCGTTGGAATTTGGGAGGCAGCTCGGCTGTGAATTCAAGACAGGCTGTCGAGAGAAATATCATTTCATCCAAGATGAACTTTTCAATTTTATCGCAGAAAATGGAAAGTCAACGACATTTAATGTTCAGAGAATTCGTGTGAGTTTGAATGTAAATGATCCTATATATACGACGCGAGTTGGTCGTTACGGAATTCATTCAAGATAAGCGCGCGCGGACGAAGGATCGCGAGATTTCTTCTCGTCTCGTTTCTTTAAAGAGAATAAGCCGTCGGAAAGAGAAATGAGAGAAAAATATTGTATAATTTATACTACTTGTCCCCAAGGGTATTTGGAAAATAATGGACCGATCGCGCGCGACAGTTTCAAGTCTCAACGTGCGGATCGTGAAACCGTGGCTATTCGGCAATGTTATTAAACTAGAAAGCTCAGGAAGACTCCACTCGATCATTGGAGGGTTGCAATAATTCGCGGCACGATCCCCCTCGACGGTGTCGACCAGTTTTATGGTAGCAAAGAGAGAGAGAGAGAGAGAACAACGACACTGCGAAGCAACGGCCGAGGCAGTAAAACAATGAGACGCAGACAAATTGGGTTGCGTGCTCGAAACAAGTTGGCACAGCTATCGCCAAACAGTCGTGGGAGCACAGCAAATGTTACTCGATTGCCCGGAGCTCGAGACTCCTCCATTTTTTCCCGCCGACGCTCGGAACTTCCGGGATGGGGTAGAGAGGAGAGGCGAAATCGAGGAAAAATGTCTCGCGGGCTACCTCCCTACATCGGCCTCTTCTCTTTCCTCTCTCTCTCTCTTCGTTTCGTCCAACATACGATTCTAACCGAGTTAGACGTTGCAACGAGACAGTATCTTGTGTCCGGGCCCTTCTTCTCCGCGCCCTCGTAAACGATATCGATGGAAATAATTTGTCGAGGTATACTTTGATACGTTGATAAGTTCTTATCGGTGTTGTAATATTGATATAGATCACTTGGTACGCATCACGAGGCGCGTCTCCCTCCTCTTTAAATAAACATAAACGACGATATTTCTAACTTACTTATTCTAAAAAGTTTCATTTCCGATCTATAAATACGATTGTTTGTAATACGCCGTATTTCGATCGATTAAACGCTAATTGTATCATCTTGATCGCTTCTCGAAGATACAGGCTTCTTCGCAGCTTCCGAATTCTTATGTACGCGACGATAAACTCTGGGAGTCGAGACCACATCAGAAAAGTCGGGACGACCCTTTTCCGTAGTTTTTGACTTTCTTGGTGTGCGAGGGCCCGCGCGATTGTATAGAGGCCGGTTTGAATAAACCGGAAACTCGCTCCATCGTCGGCCTTACCTGTTCCCCTCTCTCTCTCTCTCTCTCTCTCTCTCTCTCTCTCTTTCGAACCCTCATTTACGTGCTTGCGTCGTGTGCATTCATTGTTGAATACCCGCGTTCTCTCTCTCTCTCTCTCTCTGTTTGCGATTGGATACAACCTGCGATTCTATTCAGCGAGACGTACGATTCCGGCAAATCATCGGGCAGTTCGCTCCGGAAATCAAAGATGCGGTCAATCGCTGTACCTAAACACCTTAAATGTTCGACAAAGATTGTAAAAAAAGGCCGCGCCATAAATGCGTCATTCCACCAACTTGACAGGTTTTTGATTGTCTCGCGAAATTACAAAACGATATAAAATAGTGCGGACCACCACGTTTCTCCTGCCATTTTCGATGATAATTTAACATCATCCACCTTCGGCAATCAATAGCGTCGGGTATAATACGTACAGCATTACCGCGATAATATTTTATCTGCGATCGAACCGTCGCGAAATAAGGTCACCAAGCGACGTCGATTCGATCGCGGAATTACTTTTACGCGCGTATAATTCCGACGATATATACCGTGCGATAATCGCGAAATAACGCGCTTCATCGCAGCCGACGTAACAAATGCGTGTCCGCGAATAATAAGCGGTTGAGGTGAAAAAAGAAGGAAATCAGGTCAGCTTGGTGGTTGCGCCTTCTTTCTCTGCTCTCGTCGAATGCAATTATCGCGGAAAAAGGGGCCGATAGTCACGGATTGTCAAGTGATAGATAGGCGCTTCGCCGTAAAATTAGCCTCTGTAGTCTATTACTTTTCGTTACTACTCGCGCGGAAAAGGATGCTCTTTGCACGAAAACAAGAGACATTTGTTTTAGCAAATGTTCCTCCGATTGCATTCCCGATGTTAACCTATACAATCGCATAGTTTATTCGCGAAGTATATATACCTCTCTGTAAAATCGGGCTCTCCTTCTCGTGGCTTTTCGGCCAGGTAGACGTTCGTACAACACTCGGTCCCGGTTTCTAACCCAGTTTTGCGTATCAATAGACGGCAATCTGGATAGAGTAGCAGGAAGAAGGGGTGAAAAATCGAAATGACACAGTAAAAGCACCGCTAATGCTCTTTCACATTAACACTCGACGTAAAGTATGCTCTCGGTGTAAAAAGCCCTGATCGATGAAGCCCGGCGATTGGCCCGCTCGCCCGGCAGGATTGAAATCAACCCCCGTACTGTCGGCCGAGGGTTTCCCCGACACGAGACGGTCTCATTGGTCGAGCGACGGCACCACCCCTTGGTAACATAGCCCGTATAACGTTACCAGTCGCGTTGAGTCCCGCGGGTTACCCTCTTCGTAAGGTCGCGGGAGACTTCGGGGGAGATTCCTTGCGTACGATTTTCATTTTCACGCGTGAGGATCTCGTGAGGCCGACGATAAAAACACACACACACATATATATCCGGAGGAATCGAGACGGGAGGAAGCGAAAATCATACACGACCTTTGAGGAGGAGGATCTTATCTTTCGAATTGCACAGACTATTCGCGACGGGACGGTATAAACGTCTAACTTTCGGACGAGAACTGAAGACGGCGAAAGAGCGTTTTCCCATTCTGCCAGCTTCTCCCGCGGGGAACGTTTCCTCACCACCGGTCGGCAGGGTGGGAATAAAGCGAGCTAGTCGGGGATGAACGAGAAATCTCCGCCTCCGTGGTAAAGAACCGCCCTCCGCTTCGAGGGTGCTTGACGAGGGAAACTGCACGGAGGTAGGGAACACTAGCCGTCAAGTGCTCGTCGAGGATACTCAAAAACTACAAGAAGAGTCCTTCAGCAGCTCCGAAAAGGAATCGGCGCACTTTTCGAGTCCTTCGGGCGCTCGCGCCCGACTCGTGCGACTCATCGAAAGTTGCACGATATCGGCTTATAATCGCGTTTTTTCCACAAGGAACTATAGTTGTGTTATATGTGATAAAACAGTGAGAGAGAAGGTACTCGAGAGTACAGTGACTGAATCGCGAGAAGAGAAGGTATTGTTTGAACGTACGCGAGAACGATTATGAAAATTACTGTAGTTAATACCGAGTGCGAATAGCGAGGGAACAAAGGAACGAGGGAGAAGAAGAGGAGCTTTCGAACTGAATTATCATCGAAAATTATAAACGGGCATTAGTGAGGAGGAAAAGAAGATAAGCGGTGTAACATGTACTGACGCCAATAACAAGCCGATCAAAATCTCTCAAAATGGCGGACAAGAATAAGGTAGAAAAGATTCTACCCTGGCCGATTATACCGTATCCGATCAGTGTCTGGAACCAGCTTTGGTGTAATCAGCTCGTATTGAACCCTAGGTAAACGAACAGCGTGTTTTCCTCCGAGAGACTCCGATAATGTTCGCATGCTATCTAAGAAATAATTTCATTTCTTATTATTAAAGCTCGACGATGAAGTAAATACGCGCGGATAAGCTGCGAAAAAGCTCGCGTTCGACGATAGTATCTCGACACGATCGATCTTGATGGCCCTCGAATTCTTGCACGTGGCCTCATTAAGAGATCGTGCTATCGCGTCCGGTCGATATCCTTGATATTCACCGCGAACGATCGATTAAAACGCGCGGCAAAATACGAAAATACTGAGCGCGCGTTACAGAGAGAAAAATCACGCCGTTTATTCATCTCTATTAGAATGCGCGTCGTAAAGTTGAAATCGCGAGCGACTTCAATGCTGGCACGTCGAAATAATTGTCGCGAGGAGGCGAAAGATCGCTTCGAGTCGTTCGCTGCAAGTCGAGAAAAGAAACGCGAGAGATGGGATAAAAAATATTCGGGCGTACATCACACATCATCGCGAGTTTTTTCCAACGACGGCCTGTCGAAGTGTGTTCCGCGCCGAAAGAAGAAAAGAACGTGTCGCGATAATAGCTCGCGCGGATTAGAAGAATCGCTTCTGTGCACAGGTCCTCTCGACAGGTAGGTGATCCTTTGAAGTCTAAATCCCGAGAAGGACTTTTTGACGGCCGTCACGGTACTTCCGGGCCGAGCGACGAAAATTGGATTACCACGTCGAAAATCCAGCCACTTTTGTGAAAAGCCGACTTTTCGCGATTCGTTGCCCCGACTCATTGTTAAAACAGCGCGCGAATAAAAATGCCTGTGATCGCATCTTCTTCATGTAATGTAATCGATACAGGTTGTTGGAAGGTTGCATCAAAGTACCGGCGAGGACTTCCAGCTTCCACATCAGCGACATTTTGGAATTAAACGACAACAAGCCGTCGCAAGAGGAGACAAATGTGCCAGGTTGTAAGATTGAAATGAATAAATAGTACATAACCCGGGGGGAGAATGAAGAGAAGTTCTCTGGCCGGCGGGAGGGAGAGAGTTGAATGGGATTTTCGCGTGCCTCCAGGTGCGACGACGGTTCTATCCGCGGCGAACGACATGCCGTCGGCTTACCAGCAACTTCTTGAGCACACGTCCGCTATGCTGCAACCGGCTATGCACGCTAATCTGGCCAGGAATACGCTGCCACCACCTCCACCGGGATTATTAGGATGGACAACGGGACCGTCGGCGCTGCCGACGGCGTTACCTCAACCCTTGGAGGAAGTGAATGGTGAGTGCGAGATTATTTGTACATTTCGTCGCGAATGAATTCCGTGATCGATTTTCTTCGCGCGGGCGGTCGGAGAGAAAGGAGACCCTTATTTATTTAGCACCCTACAATTGGCCCGCGAGGGTTAAGCAGGATCTAATGGTTCTGTAAAAGGTCCTCGTGGATACCGCTCCGCGATTGGCCCGCGAAGGAGGACAGATGTCGCACAGGGGACAGATGTGTGAATCGTCACGCCCAAAAAATTCCACCTATCCGCTCTCTCCTTCATCTCCCTTTGCTTACGAGCTGTTGAGAAACGCGCGCGAATAATTGCGGGGAGGGGTGAGTAAAACGAGAAATTAATTCGCGAGATGGAAGAAAGCCGGCGTCTCGATCTAATCTCCCATGAAAATGATACAAATAGGCTTTGGTTCGCCCTCCCCTTGCAAAAGCATATTGTACGTTAAATTAGTCGGCCGCAACATTATTTCGTCATCGAGTAATCACCGCGGATGTTCCTCATAACCGATCGCGCCGGTTGATGAAATGAAGATCGTGTCGGGAGAACTATTAAAAAGAAAGGATGCGTGCATCTGCCGACTGACTAATCAACGCTAAGAGCAAGCCGGCTGAACCGGGTTGCAGCTGCAGTGCGTCGAATACTACGCTACTCGGTCGTTTCGAGGAGGGAAAATTTCATCCGACTCGCTTTTCGTCTTCCAGTTCTCCAGCAACCGGACTCGACGAGCCCGGCGATCTCGGACTTGTCGTTTCCGTCACAGCAAGAGAACAGCCACGAGTCGAAGGACGAGGAGTCGCAGGACTTTGAGGACGAGCAGCAGGGCAACGAGACGCAGGCGCACGAGACCGAGCATAAAAAGCGCAAGCGACGAGTGCTGTTCTCGAAGGCGCAGACCTTCGAGCTGGAACGGCGCTTCCGTCAGCAGCGGTACCTGAGCGCGCCCGAACGCGAGCATCTCGCCTCCGTGATCCGGCTTACCCCGACCCAGGTGAAGATCTGGTTTCAAAATCACAGGTACAAGACCAAGAGGGCGGCGAGCGAGCGCGTCGAGGCCGGCGGTAGCGGCTGCTCGCCGAGGCGAGTCGCCGTGCCGGTGCTGGTGAGGGACGGCAAGCCCTGCCAGTCCAAAATGATGGAGCCCGCGATGTACCCCGGCGGCCAGGTCCCCATGGCGTCGTACGTGCAAAAGTACTGGTGGTAGAAGAAGGTCAGCGACCCGTGGATGGATCTCTTTTCTGAGGGCGATTCGCCCCGTGACTCGTCTTGACGAAAGACTCTGGAAGGAGCGATCGAAGATGGGAACCGACGAGTGATCGTCGTCTCGATTGTGTTATGACCGTCGCGAAGCTCCTTTAGCATGTTACCCTCGCCCGAGATTTTGCGGTGATGAACGCGCGCGAAATTCTAGCGAACGAAGCAAGGATTTTTTGAGAGAGCGACGTGTAATATTTCTAGGTAAGTATTTACCGCGCGTGAAACACGCCGGCGGCAGACTTTGCATATCGCCAACACCTAGACGCGTGTTCATTTAAAAGACGATTCCTTGGAGAGATTCCCCTCCCCCCCCCCCCCCCCNTATCAATGTTAGACGACCGAGAGGTCGGTTTAACGCGGTCGGTTTAATAGATAATTAGAACGTTTCTTCGAGAGGCAACCGGAAGCCTCTCCTTTTTGCGGAGAGTATACTGATATTTACGAGGAAATTAGAGAGTGTACCGTCGAATACCAAAGATTGTTCGCGTCTAACGAGCTAAATTCACGTGGACAGATAAGTGAATAATTAAATAGATGTAAGGAAACACGCAGTAGGAAAAGAGAGTTTCTTTTCTTTTAAACGAATATAGATGTTGCTCGCGTACAAAGTAAGACGTTTGTACAAAATTGTTATTATACTTCTTATGAAGAATCACGTAGAAGTTCAAATTAGTCGTTAGAACGCACAGAGGATTGGTGTATCAATTCCTTTTGAACGACGATGAATCATAGATATACGTAAAATGCCGATTACTGCCAAGCGAGTAGTCGAATTCGTGACTTGATTGAAATCATTGCGGCATACAACCCATTTCTTCACGCAACTCTCCCCCTCTTTCTCGCACTTTGTCGGGAGACTCACAATTATGGTATTTGATAGATTCTCAACACTATTGCGAGTTTTACTACAAAGTTGAACGCGCGACTTTATATTTACATATTTGAAGACAAATATGCTTTGCGTAAAACAAAAACAACTCGGCTGATATTAATATTGATTCCTTTTCGTTGTTCTCAAGTTTGCTGGAAGTAACACGTCGTCGAGATGTAATAACGTTCGGCATGTTAATAAATATTGTTCGACGCCGATCGATGATTAAACGATGTATTTAGCACGAAGTAATCAGACAATTGAATGTGCGAGCAATCGCAAGGTATCCTAATTTCTTTTCGTACTTAATCGATTAGTTGATGATACGTTGTATATATGTACATTGTGTATGATACATAGTAAACTAATATATCAGAAACATATTTAATAAACCTGAGTCTCAAAAGAACGCGCTTTATTCTCTTTCTACTTTTCCTCATCGATCTCGCTCTTGTCTCTCTTCACACGTCTCCCTTAAATTGATTCTTTAATTTACACGAGAAGTATCTCCAATAAATTGTTTCCCCGCGCAAAAAGACATTCTGCTCGAAAGAAATATTACATCTGAATGTATTGTTTTTAAAGTAAAATTTTCTTCTTTTTGCGACACGGTGTAACGATTCCAGCGGTAATAGTACAAACTTTCCTTCACTTTTTTCACGATGAATGCAACGAAACAATACACCCGAGACGTTACCCTGCCCCCTCGATTGTCCTTCCCTTTTTCGAGACACGCCGGAAGCCCGCGTAGCTTGAGTGACAAGCTTCCGGTTTCCGTTTCCGAGCAGCCATCTTGTTACCGGTTTAGATTTCCTGAGGGCACCCCATCGAGATGGGGACTTTTGCAACCGAAAAACTTTTCATTATTACGACGGTCATCCCCCATCGAGAATCGGTCGGCCTTATCTCTCGTGATTTCCTTTCGCGATCGAGATTGTCGTCTTATCATGCCGCATAATAACATCAGATTCGAAAATTTGATTGATCGGCGGGAGTTTCTTTGAAGCGATAATGTTTCGAAAATCAGTGATCAACAGTCGCGTTTATCTCGGGCCAGTTATTGGGAGATAGCGCCTATCTTGGCGAAAATTTCAGCTATCTTTAAACGCGAGTTCAAGTATGCAGCAATTTTCTTTAAGTAAAGAATAGAAATTAGCACTCGGGAGAAGTATCCATCCATTGGTCCAGTTTTGCTATCGAATCGGGACGATACAAAGGATTCGGTCCCTCATCCCTTATCTGGCCGTGCCGCATCACGGCGGATGACATAGCGAGGTAAATGGAGTGGACAGCGGACAGCATATGCTTTGTGGCGATCTCGCCTCCGCGCTGTACAAAACGGGACTACTGTCCCCACGCGCGGAATATTCCGCGCGCCGAACCGGAAGCGACAGATAACATTCAACCCGCTGGTCATGATTTATACGACCAGCTGTAATCTATAGATTCGGACATCGACCTAGCAAGGCAAGGAGCGCGTTTTATGGCCTGTATTGCATCTTTCTACCTTTTCGCGCTTATTATCCTTAGCAAGAGTTATAAATAGGCAAGGAAGGAGTGAGAGATAAAAATCTCTCCGGTGTATTGGGACACACGCCAATCAATAGCACAGAATAAATTGATAGTTTGTCGAGCGACGGGACGTCCCCTAATATTTCCGAATGTAATCGAGGGGGTGTGCGCGCTCTTCGAGGAAAAAAGGAAAAATACGAAAGGAAGAGAGAACGCGCGAACGTCGCCGAGAGAAGAAGAAGAGAGAGAAAAATGAAAAAAACTTGGACAATGCAGTCGGCGAAGGAGGGGAAGCGAGTGTTCCGGGAGTGTTTTATTGGCTGGTTTCCGTGGGGTGGAAATTCCGTATAATGTACGAGATGTTTGCGTGGACTCTTTTAACCCCTGTCGCAACGGCTATCGCGAACCTCTCTTAGTCGGTACATAAAACTACGGCGATGGTCCTTTCTACTTGTTCGTCCGCGTATACGTTAATCTCTCGTTAATACTTTCGATAATCTTCGCGTGAAATCAGGCGTATTCTGCTCGTTGATTGTATATTATTAGCGCATTCAACTGCCTATACGCACTTTTATTAATATATCGTGGCGCACTTGTATGGATTTTGTTAGCTCTCTCACGTTTGGTAACCGAACGTCGACCTCGATAATAAAGTCACAGCGACTTTAGATAAGACCGTTCCGATTGAAACGTCGGAACCGGATGCGATGTTCCCTTTTTATCGTTTTTTTTTTTGTTTAAAGGCGCACGTGCCGGCATTATGCCGGGGTGCTAAGTCGCGTGACCGGAAGAAGCATCCTAATTGGTATCGATTCCACGCGTCGACGCTGCTCTTTTCCGCCTCCCTGAAACGCGTCATCGAGCAGCCTTCGTTCGCACACTTTACATCAATCTTGATACTATAGACCGAAATATACATCAACTAGAATAAACTTTCACCACGCCTGATTTTACGGCCGCGCCTCTACAAACATAAAATCTCGCGGTAAGCAAACAAAATATAGTGATATAATTCTAAAACTGCCAAGAACAAACAATCACTCATTTATCTCGAGTCGGACGTGTTTTTCGTTCAGGAGCAAATGAAAGGGGCGTTTAGTACTCGTTCGATCGGGATTCTCCGAGCACGTCCGACGGAAATCTGAATGTCCGTCGAGGGGTGGTTCAGAACTTGGCCAAAACTTTTTCAATCCCGAAAACTTTCCACCGGGCAGTTTATTGTACTGTTAGGAGTTTCAAAGGAGTCTACGGATATCGAACGGTCGAACGACCGTCGTCGTCGTACGGACATTGTCGGAACGTGCGGCTGAGATCGTGTGTAAATTTTACGAGACGAGAAAAGTATGCTGCGACAGATTTGAACTCGGTAATTTGAGGGGTCGTTCGATCAGTCGCGACACAAAGGGAGAGCTCCCTTTAGTTAGTAAAACGCGATATAGCATTGAAATCATAGCACAATCAGAATTGACACGATAAAATTCATTGCGGAATCACAATCGTTCGGTAGAAATTTCACTCACTGCTTCTCCGTTGAATTTTTTCGGAAAAATCAACAATACGCGGATCTAATTCGAACGTTCTCGAAGGGATAAACTCGAGAAAAACATCGCCGCAACATGTTTGGCTACTTTACAGGGGACAAATAACAAATCGCTTCCCTCGGATTTTCTTCCTTTCGGAGACTCGATGCTTCCCGACGCAACAACAAGGACGGTTTTCGCGACTTTTCTTGGCAATGGTCGGGAGAGATTCATAAGGGCGCATCAACTTTTCCCGCAGCCTGGTGGTCTGTGGAAATATTTCGAGACGACAACCTGAGTACGTTCTGGAAGCTTGCCAGAGATTGCCGCGCATCGCAACGCTCGAGATGATAAGTCTTTCGCGCGGGCAGAAAAAGTCGGGGTAGATTAATCAAAGCAGAAATTCAGGCGAGAGCGACCGCCGACAAAGCATATTCCCCGCTAAGAATGGATCGTTTCCGGTTCCGCTCTCTTTATGGTACATTGCGGCCCAGCGATGTATTAAGATTACTTAATCAATAAAGCCCCGCGCGGCCAACTAATTCGTTTTTCGGAGCTTTCTTCTCCAAACTGTCTGTTCGTTTTTAACGATCATTTGATCGTATTTCGCAGGAAGAAACGAGGACGAAAAGTTTCCTTCGCGTTTCTTATTATTATTTACAATTATTTTCAAATCTGTCAAGATAAAGCTTATTTACTGGAATCGTACAATTAAAAGGATAAAAGTTTTCGCGGAACTGAAACGCGCGTTCCCCCGGACAAATTACACACCTTTGGGAGCCGAAAGTCGAGCCACTTGTTTAGACGAGCCGCGTGCACGAAATGGTTAAATGGTGGATTGAACAAACAGCTCCGTGCTTAAACGACAGTTACCGGGCCGTTAGTCACGGTTAAGCGAGCAAACATTGATATGGGCTCTCGATTAATATCGCCGGGGGTGGCACAAAAATCGCATTCACCATTTTCGGTAGAAAATTCTTTAGAAAAGGAATAAATAATAAGCGTCTGTTTGCCAAAATTAGTAAGCTATGCTTTCGTTGAATTTCTTTCTTTGAGAAGAACGAAATGTGTATCGCGTGACAACAAGGAGACTGATGTGGATCACGCGACGGGTGTAGTGCGCATCGTAGAAAAATATATCGATTCAGAGAGAGAATGCAATACAAACGCCGTACAATAGAAACCACCCGCTTGTAGGATCGAGGAGAGTTTTTTCTGGCCCTTTAATCCCGACTACTTTGCACCAGCCTTCTTACGAGAGAAGACCCTCTTAAACGTTTCCCGGTTTCGCGGCTAAATCTGCTTAAACGAGCTGCCCGTGTCAGAATGGAACAACTTTTTCCTACGTTGCCGGGTGGCGACAGTCGTGATTTACTTCGTCTGCCGCCCGCGGTGTTTCCGCGTGAGAATTTAGAGCTTGAGTATTAAACGTGATAAAGTGTTATAATCGCTCAGACTCCCAAACAAGTATCATTCCACGGTTAAGAAGCCTTCTTTTTCTGTCGGAAGATCTCACTTTTCAAATCCGGTACTAAAAATCATTCTAACAATTACATCTCTAGGTAGAAAGTAAATTGGATATCGCGCCGGGCTCTAATTCCGCGACATCGGGGTTATTTCGACACGCGCTTAAACCGATAGTTACGCCGATATACAGACAATCCTATCCTCCCACTCGAGCTTACGCAGCTCAATTGCTACAATATAATATTGCACAGATTTATCTGCGAGTTTTGCGCATATTACATCTTCGATAAATCATTTCGAAATATGATGGCAGCTCGCTCGCTCGAACGCCAGCTTCGTAGCGAAGAAGGTATCGTCGTTCAGATGACAAGGATGAAGAGACGAGCGAGATTATCCGAGGAGATTTTCGCCCGGCTGAAAGTTTCACGTGAAAACACGACGCATTGACGACGGGCGTTAGCGCGTGCATTGATTTCCCGCTCAATTTCTCCCAAATATTTCTCGACGGAAATCCCGCGGTGCCCCTTCGTAGTAAGCCGGCCATTTACCCGAATTGAGACACAATGCCACGTTTACTGTACCGTGGGTAAGCCTGTTAAACTCCCGCTGCATAAATGCCAGCATATTCATAGAAATCAAAACGGATCGTCGCGTTTCTCTCACAATAACTCTATTCGGAACGATCGGTTAAAATATATCTCGAGATTCCAAACTTGATCGAAAAATCATCACGAGCTCCTCCGTTCGTTCGAAGAAATCGCCGCGACCAGCCGAATGAATTTTTGCATCGAAGTTTCGGATAACGCGTCGAAGAGAGCCGCGTACCTTCTCTCGAGTTGCATTAAAGTTTGTGGCGGGGCGGTATACGCGTATATTCGAGGTGT